CCCCTGCACACGCCCCACATACATCAGTATGTCTTTAGCACTGGCCGGTCCGTGCAGGCTGAGGGAGAGAAGAGAGACAGAGGATTAGTATTCAGAGCACAGGGAGGGAAAAAAAAGAAGGAGAGGTAGCGATCGAGCCAACGAGGGAGAGTGTAAGAGGGAGGGGATAGTGGAAAGAGAGAGGAGGAAAAAACACAAGGAGGGGAGGATAATATAAAGAGAAGAACTAAGGGGGAACGGGAGGGAAAAGAGGGGAGGGAGACACATCGTATCGGTTGTTTTTTTTTCTCCCTCTCAGTCTGCCATCCCGGCCGCGAGGTTTATTGCTCGGTGCGTCTTGGGGAGAGGATAGAGAGAATAGAGAGGATAGAGAGGATAGAGAAGATAGAGAGGAGGAGGCGTCGGACAGAGCGAAAGAGGGCGGAATGGCCCTTTACAAGCGTCGCATCTGACCAAAAACCAGCGGAGAGGCTCGTAAATTGAAAACCGGTCACAGAGGAAAACAAGGGGTCTCCGCAACGCCAAGGTAAGGGGGTTGGGGGGGTGGGGGGGTGGGGGGGGGGATTGGATTTGCTGCTCCCGCAAACGGGCCGAAACATTGGGGTTCGATGAGGGTCTTGTTCGCATCACATCTCCTTTGATCCGAAAATCCCGCACTGGGCTCTGCTGAATATGCCCTAAATCCAGCAGCATGTGGCTGTTTTCTATCAATATTTAATGCAAAGCCTATTATATGTGCATCACCCTGGCTTCTCTATATTGCATTCTGCCATTTGTCAGCCTGCATATATCCCGGGCATGCAGCGGGATGGATGATGAGTGGAGGCAGGCAGGCAGTCTATAAGGCAATGTAGGGTTTCCAATCCCCCCCCCCCCCCCCCCTCCATCCATCCATCCACACCCCTCGGCCTCCAGCCCATCATCAAAGCCACAGTTCCTCCGGCGTCCCGCCGGGAGAGGACCACGAAATAATCAAATAAGGAAAAGGGAAAAACAAAGCCCAGGCACACACACTGACTCACCGACTCTCACTTAGCTGTAGGTGAAAAATGAAGTCAGGGCGTCTCTGTGCAAGTGACATTCCACTCCCCGTCTGTAAATAGGTCTGCAGATTCACTGCTGTGCAGGAAGAGCAGCTCCAGGATTCCTGGCCGGCCGCTTGCTCTCTATTTCCTGTCCCACGTTATGGATAATTTAGACACTTGGAGTTCCAGCTGGCCCCCGAGTGGTAAGCTGTGAAAGCCACCTTTGATATCTGTGAATGGGGGATAGAAATAGGTGGAGATAAAAGGCCACAGTGTTGTTTTTGAACGCGTCGGGGTGTTTGATTGCATGTTTATAGAGATATATGGTCTTAAGCGGATATTAAAGCTCACTCTCACCCACCTCTTGTCATTTATTTGCTGAGTGGGTATCCAAGACCTATTATAGGAGAGGCTAAATTGGAACAACCTCCAGGCTGAGGCTCGGCAAAGCTATTACCTCTAGTCAATAGACATTAATATCCCCCACCCTCAATCTTGGCCTCAAACAGTGTCGTCTTTGTCCCCTGCAAAACACAGCGCTGCTCCAGTGGAGTAACCAAAATGATGTGTTGGAGTGGCCCTATCTGTTTACCACTGCGCATCAGTCCGTCACGGCCCAACGAGCAGCGAGGAGCGATGATGGCACTGTCTCGGGCAGACGAGGCCGTGGCCTCGAAAGGAAGCGATGCAAGACAAAAAAAAAAAAAAAACGAGGCTACGCCAGGCCGGTGAAGACGGGTCACGACCCCTGTGAATTAGAGACGGTACCGGCGAATGACAGGCGATATAAAGCGTACACGGGTACATTGATTTGAGGGTGGCACACGACATGATACCGGCCAGCGGGACACAGCAGAGCAGGCAACATCAAAGTCCAAAGTCCAAAGTCCAAGCCGACAGTCGGCGGCCTTCTGCAGGCTGGAAACAACAGCCGCTCACGGGAAATACCGCTAATGGGAAAACTGCCACACAGGTGAAAACACGCTGGCTGTGAAATGTGCTTAAAACAAGTAAGCTGATTAGCAGGCCAACAAAACAAAAGGAGGAAATTTAACAAGAAAAAAAATAGAAATAAAAACACAGCTTAAGACATCTGGAGCAAAAAAAATAAGAGGTTCAATTAAACATGACTTCCAGGTACAGATGAAAACAAAGGCAAAAGCGTGGCAACAGATAGGAGGACTTGAAGGAAGGTTCAATGAGATCTGCCTGTAACATCCCATTAAGTATAACCAATGGATTAGTCTCCTTTTGTCTGCACACGCATTATGTTCACCCAGAAAAAAAAAAGCCTCCGACTGTTCTCAGTTCTCTAATTACGAAGGTGCTCAGATTCTGCCCTAAAATAGTTAGACATTTCAGCAATAAGTGTTTATTCCCTTTAGTCAAACCCAATAAAGGAATGGGAGGTTATTAGGACGTGGCTAAAAAAAGGATATTAGGATGTAATCTTAAGCATCCTTGACTCTGTATTCAAATGAAAAGCCTCCAAGTAAGACCAATTTAAAAAAAAGACTAAAAACTAAAACAGCCACACATTTGTGTGGTTTGATTTAATTAGTGCAGACATCAAATGGACTGTAATTTGACCCGGTTATGAGGAGCCAGCTGATGTTAGGGACCTGTGGGGAACATCTGGATGGATCCTTTGTCTCCTCGAGCTGACAGCAGCGTTTCAAAAGCCTTATCACCGTAATTCCCAGACGCACCTGAGTCGTGTGATTCCTCCCTCCGAGACAGATTCAACATCCCGATTTGAGATTTCCGTCACGCTCCCTGACATGATCCGTCTTACTGAGAAACTTGTCCCGGGCGGTTTTCATCCACCTCGCATTCTCAGGTGAGCGAGGAGCAAGATGACAGGACTCTAGCGTGCTGCTTCCAGAAATAAGAAAAGTCAGTTCTTGTAGAGAAATGAGGGAGTCGATTCGGAATCGGGTAAATATTTATTAGTGCATGTCTCAGCAGTATGATAGTGGGAGGGTTTGGATATTTCACATCTCAGTTCTCGGCTACCAATACTGGAACCATCCGTTCCGTAAAAGGGGATACGGACGTAAATGTTTGGTCTGTTTTTATCACCTGTAAGCCGGGCTGTGGATGGAACGGCCGGGCTGAGCTTTAAAAAATGAGTCACTGAGCTGATGTTCTTATCTGAAGAGATTAGCAGGGGGCGGCCGGCGAGGGGCTCGGTATCTTGCTCAAGGACACCTGTTTAGGTTTGAACTCGCAGCCTCTTCCTTCCTGATACGCGCCGGGACTTTGGTTCCTGTTACTAACGGCTGTCTGGTCCCTTTGTCTGGTGCAACCCGGCCATTTTTTTCTTTTTTCTTTTCTTCCCCTGGCCGGATTTAGCTCCTGATCTGATTGGCTTGCTTCTTCCGTGATTGCAGACCGATCTCATCCAGTTCTCATCATTTTTTCCCGTTGTGTGATTGGACAGGGGCTGGTTCTCCTGCGTCCGTAGTGTGATTAGACTGCGACCTTGCCCAGCAGCCTGTCTCAGCCGGACGGTGACCCTTCTGCGTGGTCAGTCTGTGCTGTTGCGTATTCGTTGGCTGATAGTATTGATCCCTCGCAGTGCATCGGTCAGTAGAGTTTTAGAGTCTCTCTGTAATCTACAATACAGTGGGAGCATGTGTTATTTGACGTGATGCTATCCAACCGGAATGATTCGTCCACATTTTTCTGAAGGCATGTTTATCCGTGAACACACATCCTCTGTAAATGTTTCGAAACTGCACCCCCAGAACCCGGATTGCCATTGTTGCTGTGTCACCCTCGTCACCGGCTCCCCATTATTATTTTTTTTTTCCCCCCCTCTGCCCTTCTCTGCTCCAGTTTTCCCTCTCCCTCTTTATCTGTCTCGCCTCCAATTTAATGTCTCTCTTATGCCTGGCTCTCGCCCCCACCCCCCCCCCCCCCCCCTCCCCCTCCTCCATCCCTTCTACACAATCGCTCGGTCTGTCCGTCATCAATTAATTTGTGCCTCTCGCTCCTGATGCCGTCGCTGGCGCTGGCGATAGGGAGCCGTGTGCCAAACGGCCATTCCTGAGATTGAGATATCGTAGATTTGAAGTCACTCACACAGATTTGATGCCCTAATGGGGAGAGAGCTAAACGAAGGCTTGGGGAGGGGAGGAGGGTGAGTGATTTAGTCCAGGATGTCGGGTTCAGATGACATTTCGAGTCTGAAATGTTTGGTTGTCTGTAATAGACTAACTTTCTTGATCTGACAACGACAGTCAGAAAGGAGTGGAAACAAGTGGGGCAGGAAGTGGAAGCGGTCCCTGTTTCCGATCTTGCTGGGAGTGAAGTACGGGCTTTGCCTAATGCGGTGATTGATGGATGGCCGGGAGACAGATGGACATGTAAGAGGCACTTTGCTGGGGAGGTGCCACTCAGTGCACAGAGACTGGCTTTGACATTTCTCTGAACATACATCAGATGATCAACAGCCCCTGGCTTGTCTGATGTGGCATCTCGTCTCAGAGAGAGATCGGCTGCTTTACAAGGTCGCAACTGACTCAATAGTCAACTGACCTCTCACCAGGAACATTGTGCATTGCCAATTTTTTTTATTTTTTGGCGAGACAAATTCAATACTTGGGGTATTGGAGTGGATCTGTATTGTTAGAAGTACCTTTGTATACATTTTCTTCTGTCAGAGCCCTCAGAAAACAGTGAGAAAGGGGATTTTGAGTAATGACCTGTTTTTATTTTCCACTCAAACAAAGTCAAGAAAACGTCTGAAAGGGAAAACTTGTGGGAAGCATTCTGTTAATGTCTGTAACTGTCTCTCACTCTTGCTAGTGGCTCTCCGAACAGTGATGCAGGACCCAGTCATTAGCATTCCTGTAGCTCTACCTGTTTGCCTGTAACTGACTGATCGATTTGCATCATTTTTCAGGCGTGCTTGGAGAGCTGTAACAGTCTCCACCCGTCCGGCAGCGGCCTCCGGTCCACGTGTTCGAGACGGCAGCCCCAGTGATGCATTCCACCGACTCCTGCTGAAGTTACCTGACTGAGAATTTTTCGACTCTTCGGTGAAGAAAGAAAAGGCGAAAACACTGGTCTGCAGGACTCCATTTCCGATCCCAGAACTATTAGGGAATTAATGAGCTGGAGGTTATGTATGCACTGCAGGGATAACAACGAGCTCCTCAGTTAATTCACAAGGAAAAATTACACGTCAAGTGTCTCTGCTCCGGATTGCTAATTCAACATGTCGCCGAAAGTTAAGAGTTGAGTTAAGTGAAGGTAAAAGTATAATCCATGTCTTTCTTACTTTGTCTTAGTTAACAATATGCTTAAATACATGTTTGCTATTAGTGATATGGGCCAAAATTTAAGGATCAGTCATGTGGAAAAAAGTCTTTTTAAAGCCAGACAAAAAACAACCCCAGACACTACACTGAATGAACAATTATTGCAGGAAAAAAAAGTCAATTACAGAAGCATTGGGTGAAAACTAAGTAATGTTTCCAAAGGAGAGAAAAGGACAAAAAGTACAGCAGGTTCTTCTTTTAGATCATGCAGATGGCCGGTCCTCAGGAAGAACTGTTTGCTGCTCAGGAGCATTCAGGCGTGTTAACACGAGGCCCTGATTGTTGCGGTGAATCAGCCAATGTGGGGAGTGTTCTGCTCCGCGGTGAGAAAGAGTTTAGCTCAATCTGTTGAGGAGATGACCCCAACAATGACTCAACAGGAATCAGCAGGTTAAAGGTCAAAGGCTACGAGAGGGAGCAGGTAGAAAATGAACGTGTCTTGTTTGTTTGGGCTGAATGAGAAAGACTTTTCTCAGGAAAAAAACAGCAGCATGGCTCAGGTTTGACTTGTGGAACAGAGAGCAGAGCAAAGTGGACAGCTGCTGACAGCTTAGGGGCAGCTGTCGGCACGGTGGGGGAGGGATGATGGTCTGGGCTTGGTTCTGGTGCTCCTCTGGATCCCAAAGTGTTCAGAGTCAGATGTGAGCCCGTGTCTCCCACAGCTAAAGCTGTAACAGGCTCATCAACACAACAAAGATCCAAACACATCAGCAGATCTTCAGCAGAGCAGCTGCAGCCTGATAAAGAAAAGAATCAATCACCCCAACAAGGCTTCTCAGATGACTGTACAGTGTTTCCGCTAGATGTGAGAAAACTACCATTAACATGAAAAAAGGCCCAGTGTAGGTCTCTAAAACACATACCCAAAGCATGGAAACTCACAATTATCCTAATTACTCTGTAATCACAATAAAAGGTGTGTTTGTCTGAAGCTTTACAGAGCATTTAAAATGATTAAGGCATTGGTCAGTTTTTAGAAATCTCCTTTATCCACAGGAGATAATTGCTAGGATGGTTCTGTACAATTAGGTAGGTATATGTGAATATATGCATGGGATCCACCGTGTATTTTCTGTAACGTTTATATTGTCAGTCATCTAATTCTGTCAAGTCACAATTGACCTTGTAATGTTTAATTCTACCGAAATGAATGTGAAACAGCTCTGTTTGGGCTGAATGCATGGACTGTTGCTCTGCACATCCTCATGCCTCTGATTTTTAATCAGTACCACTTTATAAGGCTTTGTTGATATCTTTAGAAGTTATTTAGACTCATTAACATGTAATTTAGATTTTGCTGCCTCTCTTATTGAGGCCTTTGGAAATTTAGTCTCAGTGGCATGCCTTTCTGCCTGAGAGGATTTCCAGTTAACTACAGGAACAGATGTTAGACGTTTTTGCAAGAAAGTATCTGATGCTAAATGTTAAATTGGGAGACTTGTCCACAGTGAACCTTGTACTGGTTATGGAAAGATTATCACATGTATCCCAATGAGTGGGAAAAAACTGTTTCTTCATCACAAAACAGGATTTTTGGCTTTAATTCCGCTGGCTATGATATAATAGTTTCTTCGGTAACCTGCTCGCGCTCTGCAGAGTGCGTGTTAAGGCACTGGAGCCAGCGATATAAAAGATGCACACTGATGGCTCTGGCATCCATGCTTCTGACTAATGGCTAAGGTGACCAGTCTGCAGAAACTTGATTTGTACACTTTTATGCCCTTAGGTTCACTTTACCGTGTCTCACTTCGTCTCTTTCAGGGAAATCGAGAGGGGGAGGGTGCCACTCGTATACACCCGGGCATGCCAGTCTGGTTTCTGTGATCCAGACCTAGACACCCAGCAGAAGCCCCCTCAAGTTCTTCCTGCTGCACCTTCAGTGTCTCCTGACTTGTTTTCCCCTCAGTTAAGGCCTTGTGAAAGGTGGACGGGCCAACCCTGTACCTCCCCAGGCGCCGTCCGATAGGTGAGGGCGGCGAGGGCTGCGCTGTCATTGGCTGTCTGCTGGTGAGAGTGCGATGCGGATTGGAGCATGTCGGGGGACTGGGATGAAGACCTGTGTAAGAAGGCGCTAATGTTGGTGGAGGAGCTGTGCTTCAACTCCCCGAGGAGTTACAGTCAGAGCGAGCGCTGCCAGGAGTTCAGCTACCTGATGAGGGGCCGAATCAGCCAGATGGACTCTGGTAAGTTTGACAAACGAAGGCTCTAACGAATCATTTTTCCATATACTGACGCACCAAGATGAACTCTTTGTGTTATAAAATTAAGCCCTGTCTTAAAACTCACATGAAATCTGGATAGGCACCGTTGAAGTCCTGCTTTACATTAGAAAGGTGACCCATCAAAGCGGGTGTGCTTCTCCATGACACGGCTGTGCTGAGGTCAGCTCGATTCATGTTCTGCTCTGCATTTTACCGTGAAAACAAGCTTTTACTGAGAAGACTCAGTCAAACCTGCACTTTCTTTTTAAGATCAAATGACTGCAAACACGATCAGCATGTCCCAAGCACAGTGCCACTGAACGTGCGTGAAGAATAAACTATTCTGTGTTGGTTTTGATAGCTAACACACCTTCTCCTTTGTAAGAAAACAGCTCTGACTAGATTTGATTTTCGGTTTAATGTATTCAGTAAGACCACAGTTGCTTTGCTGCGCTCCACGAGGGAGGATGAAATGAATTTTATCAGACATCTTTCAAGCCTGTGCGGAGAAAATGTAAGGTAGCCCTTTTAGGATTAGCATGATCTGGACGAGGGAGAAAAGAACTCCTGTTTTTCCTGAAGTCTTCCTCTGAAAAATTATTGTAATATCAGGACATCACAAAGCAACACAAAATGACTGGGGTTAAGAGCAGCACTCATGTTTAAGGATTGTCGTAGGCACTGTGCACTCAGGACAACAAACCATGAAATATTCATCTTCTAAATTGAAATGGCTTCGGCATAGTCATTCTCCTTTATAAAAACGATTCTCGGAAGGTTTCTGCAGCTGTTGCGCAAATATGCCCCGGATAAAGTGGAATGTGAGTTCTCACCGGGCTCGGAAATGCTATGCAGATTAGTATGGATCTGTGGCTCACATAGATTAGCCTGGATTGGCGTTGTATTTCCCCAAGAGATTTGGATTGCTCTGAGAAAGAAATGTCATGCCATGGTTTTAGGCGTTGGTCCCCCTCGCTTTACCAGCTGTGATTTCTCGGTGTTTGCTGATGGAAAACTCTGATCCCTCGGAGGACTTGCGACTGCCGAAAGCTGTCAGCGAATGGCTTGTGTAAGCAGTGGAGATGTGTTTGATGTGGGGCAATGTACGGCTCCCGGTGGGGTTGCATGGGGCTCTGATTGACGGGGAGTCTCAGTCCCTCCTCGTGGCGTACTTCAGAGGCCCTGCTACCTTCCCACCTACCCGCCTGCTGACTCGCTTTTTTATGCTTTGTGGATTAGCAATGGATCTTTGGCAGGATCAGTGCTTGCGAAGGTACAGCGACTGCCCTAAAGAGAGACAAATGGAGGAAAGTGGTTTGGCCCCCGACAGTTGCTGCGCACGTTTGATCACAACAGTGTTTTATCAGCGTGCCCTGATCTGCCAGCCAGACAACCTACTCCTCTGCCTCCTCGCTTTGTTTTTCCCCCACAGATCAATGCATTAACCTCTCACATCCTGAAGCTCCGCCTTTCTTTATGTTCGGCTCTAAATCACTGTCTGCCGGCCGCCCGTCATCTGTTGGTTTCTCCTCTTTCTGTGTTCGGCATCGGTTTCTGCTCTTTCTCTCGTGGCGTGCTAGTTGTATCGACTTCACGAGTCCTCCTCCGTTCCTCTTCTCCTCTTTCAGTGAAATACACCCAGTCAGCTTATATGTCTGTGTCAACATGTGCACCAATCTGTTTTCAGCCCTCTGACTCTGTCTCTGAATGCTGTGCAGCCCATTTTGTTGGAGTCTTTTTTCTCTCCATCCCACTCCATCATTACTGCCCGTTTCTCTTTTCATCTCTCCCTTTCCCTCCCCTCCATCACTTTTCCCCCATCCTGTCTCCTGGTTTCCGTGTACTCCGTCACCTTGCCCTCTCATTCTTTTTCCCCCACTTCACGCCGCACCAAGACGGATCGACGTCCCCTCAACCATCCCCCACCTTCATGGCCCCCCAATCATATCTCTCGAACAAGTGCTGATTAATGACATACACAGTCTGATGAATAATTCACCGAAGAGAGAGAACGAGGAAGCCGAGGCAGAGCGGGGGGTAGACGGGGAAGAGGTAGGCACGGCGAACAAAGAGACGGATGCTAAGGAGCACGTACAGCGGCAGCCGGCAAGGGAGAAGAAACGACAGCAAGGAACCAACCAGAGGTGTTTGAGGGGATTTTATAGGGGACACAGAAAGGGGAACAAAAGACCAAAGGTTGACTTTTGTCCAGCTTTCAATCATTCGCTGTGAATCTTTTCGACATCTTGAATTTCAAATTTCATCCTCCTTTTGATGGTTTTCAGCCTAACAAGGCCAGGGAAAGGGAAAAAACCATCGAATGGTGGTTTTTGGGAACCAGTCTCAGTGACGATAACACATCGCTATGCAGAGGTGATTGGCTGCCCTGCCTGCAGACAGGAAGGATATCTAATTGGTGGTCGTGTGGTCTGGAAGGGGCCCAAGAGGGCAAAAGACACAGTTTTCCCTTTGTAGCCTGAAGCTGGAAAAAGAGTACACAGTCTGCAAAATCTGCACACAGTGTCGTAATGAGTCTTCTTGGTCTACTTACAAACCATGAATATTCATGTTCAGAGCCCTGGGATTTATTTCAATGTGGTCTCCGATTGGTGCTTTTTGTCCAGGCTGTCATCAGACCAATATATCCCATTTATAAAAAGACTTCAAATGGGCTTAGGATAATAATACATATTCATTGTATATTTAGTCTATTTATCTATAAATATTCATACGATCCTCATGACGGCTCCAGCACGTGCAGACGTTCAGAAGCACATCCCCAAAAGTTCCAAAGCTCCAGCTCTCCAGTCGGTCGACTTTCATTTCTGCTCTCTTTACTGAAGGCTGCGGGAGCTGTCCGGCAGTCTGGTGCTGAAACTGTGCTTTTCTTTTTAGTCTGTACAATTCTTTATTTGGATGAGTCATTCTCCAGCATCCCCAGCACCCACATCCTCACCCCCACAATCCCCTCCACCCCCCTCCCCCAAACACCCTCACATCTCAGACAGAATCCTTAAACTGACAAAGACTAAAAAGGCATCAGGAAATGTGGGGTGACTACCGAGGATAGACATGTTTTTTTTTGGTCGTATTTTACTATTATATTACTAATCGCTTGCCTCACTACAACCTTTCTCCGTGAAAATCCACAGCCAGTGTTACTCCAGTTTTAAAATCGGTCTCAAATGTGGGGTTCAGGCTTCAGGGAATAGCTGCATATTTCAATTTATGCTTACAGCAGGTTCCATCTCCTGCTCCGTGATGTGCGATTTATAGACATTGTGGCAATGTTACACATTTGTAAAGGGGGGGTGTGTGGACTGTGTAGCGTGCAGTGGTTCACTGCTGAATTGTGAAGCATATGTATAATGTGATAATGAGTAAATACCATCCGCATACAAATGAGGCTGTTGATGTTATTCACGCTGGTGGCAAAACTCTGATGGCGTTGTAGATCTGTCAGACGGCCCAGCTGGATGGCTCGGATTTTGTTCAAACATATGTGGATCTTGGAGGATGAATCCAGCTTCACTCATTTTATTTTATTTTATTTTTTGAATTGGTCACACAATCACTGGCCTTTCACGGTGAGTTGTGACCGGTGCGGTTTCATTTGATGTCGGATCTTTACATTATGGTTCATTTTTAAAAAAGCAAACAGACGAAAACCTTCATTATTATTTCTTCTGAGGCGGTGTCAAACCTGGCCCCCCAGCGCCGCTGTCTTGCAGGTTTTAAGGCACTTACCTGCTTCTACACACCTGATTTTGATGAAAATGGATCTCTTTGAGACGTTGTTAAGCTCTACACAGGCCTGCTAGCGGCAGGATGATTTGAATTAGGTGTGTTCAAACAGGCAAAGCTCTCAAACCTGCCGGGCGGCGGCCCGCAGAGGACCCGGGTTCGACTCCCCTGGGCTAGAGCCGCTCCAGCAGTTTGAGAATCCGTCATGTTTACTCTCTTTAACAAACCGTTGTCTTCTCTGCTTCCCTGCAGAGATCTCTGTCAGCCTGCTGTCAGTCATCGTGACGTTCTGCGGCATCGTCCTCCTCTCCGTCTCCCTCTTCGTCTCCTGGAAGCTCTGCTGGCTGCCATGGCGGGACAAGGAGGGTGGAGGTCTGAGCCTGGCATCGGCGTTGCTGCCCGGGAGCGCTGGTGTCGGAAACCTCGGAGGTGCTGCGGGGTCGTCACTCTTACCCCCGCTGCTACAGAGGAAAGAGGGCCAGTCCTCTTCCTCACTCTACCCCTCCCTGGGCCAGCAGGGCCAGCACCACCCGCATTTCTCCGACCTGGTGGGGCTGGAGAGGGGGGAAGTTGGAGGGGTGGTTGGGGGACCGAATGAGACCCAGGAGCCCTCCTACCTGGACATGGACTCCTACCCCAACAATGCCGGTGAGGGAACTCAATCTCGTAGACGTTCTTAATCCCGCAGCACTGTGGAAGTAATGCTATATCGCAATCAATAGCTTCTCGTTTTAATATACTAACAGAATTTGATACATTAACCCAGTCTGTAAAAATAATTTGCGTGAGCTGCAGCAGCACGATAAAACGCTGACCATTGTTCTCATCGCCGATGTTGAACCAGATCGACTCCACAGATCCAGTTTCAGGATGTGACACGGGGGCCGCGTTTAAATCTTTAGAAATACGAACATCCATTTCTTTGTCTGCAGCAGAGAAGAGACGAAGATGACCCCTCCCTGATATGAACACTTGTTGGATACCGATTTTTCCATCATCCTTGTTTGGTCTCGGCAAACTCGATAAAAAAAGCCTTCTGTCATAGCTTGTTTGCGAAGATAATTGAAACTAGTCAATACCGAAGTATTTTGAATGGGCTGATCTGTCATGGCCAGCATTAATTTAACACCTAAATATCCAGCATTAGAACAAGAGGCTCAGATCAAAACCGCTGAGATAAGGGAGATATTTTAGGCCTGATGCTGTTCCACAGTTTATATAACAGCCATGTTTTGTCATTCTGGAGTTTTTTTTTCCAACGGCTATCAGCATGGGTGCAGAGCACTTGTCATTATTCACCCTTTATTGCAATTGCTGGTGCGCTTTTCACATCTCTGTGTGCCTCTCAGACCAGCTCATGTGTCTCTGTTGTAAATGTGCCTGCTCATTCAGCCCCGTCCTTTTGCTGATAAATCACGGCCCGTTAAATCAAAGTAATGAAATCAATCCGATCAGCGATGGCGACCAGCGGGCTGGTCCTCAGCGTTACCGCGACCACAGACACCATTTACGGTTTTAATGAAGAGGAACGTGACTGTTTAATTTCCTCTCGCCCCTCGGTAGGGACTCTGAAGCTGAGTCAGACGTCTCCAGACGTGCCCAACTCGGAGGGCGGAGCCCATCCGCACAAAGATCTGCCCAATGCTCACTCCCAGCAGCAGGTTACCCCGAGGTCAGTGCACAAGGTGTTTTCTGCTAAATCCAGAGCTCCCAGGACTCGTTTTGTTTGTTTGAAATGAAGATTATTATTAGAAAAACATGTGATAATGTATTCTTTATAAAAAAAAAGAACATGCTTTTTACTGCACTGCATGCTGGTATGAAAAAGGGAGTAGAAACTGAGTCGTGTCACTACTGTGGGAAATCTCCATTACAGTGGCTTCATTTCCACTGCATCTTTGATTAAGCTGTTGAGTCACTTCATTGTTTTTATTCATTAATTTAATAGTGCCGTTTATTAAGTGTTTGCTTTGCTTAACATTCATCCCGTCCTCTCTTATGTGCCTCAGGCCAAAGCCTATGACGCACCAGCTCTCCAGCCCGGACTTTCACGGCGAGGAGAAGGAGCAGGTCACCTGCATTGGGCAGATCAAGCCGGAGCTCTACAGACCCAAAGGCGACCAGGGAGACGGCAAACAGGGAGACACGTGTGGCAAGATCAGCTTCCTCCTGCGCTACGCCTTCAAGTAAGTCAGCAAACGTAAACCAGAGCAGCCAGTTCCCTCCTCGGTGGCTTTCGGTAAAAAGTAGAACATTGTGCAGGAATAGGTTTCAGGTGGCATTACCTATATGTTTTGAATGCAGCTGTTTTTGTAGTTTATTCCATTGTGGTTACTCTGATATCTTTGTTTAGTTATTGTCCCAATCTCCTCGTTGATGTAGCCGCATTCTTGATTGTTTCCTGTACACTGATTTGGATTACAGGGTATGGAAAGTGTTTATGGAATCTGTTATATTTTTGACTCACCGTTGCACAATTTGTCCAGTCAGACACAGTTCTGTGGAAAAAAAGATTCATTTGAGATCTATGGACACTTCCTGTCAAATTTGGTCTCTGATTGATAAAACCTTCTTGGTGCTGGTACTAAAACATTTAAATTACAGCTTATTTTTCAAGTTGAGCAGTGTTCAGGTGTTCATTCTGGAGTCTGGAATTTGTTCACTCTTCTGTTCAGCATCTGCTTTCAGAATAAAGTTGTGGAAAGGATATTTTTTTAAGGTAAAAAATGACTCCGAAAATGACCACCAACTACCACTAAGTGGGAGCATTTTAAACTATTACAAGCAGTAAATTGCAACCCATCCTTCTATTTCCTATATTATCTTACCCCTAGTTGGGGGGCTGTGATTGGGGGAGAGGCAAGGTACAACCTGAACAGGTCACCAGCCCATCAACGTGCCAGACCAGACAGACGAGCGCACACTCACACTCACACTCACTCCTGCAGGCCATTTAGAGTCTCCAATAACTCCAACATTCACGTTTTTGGTTCTTGGGAGGAAGCCAGAGTGTCTGGAGAGAACCCATACTTCCACAGATAGACATACCTGCTCCATATAATGGTCCCCGGCCGGGACTCAGACCGGGAACCATCCTGCTGGGAGGCGATGGTGCAGACCTCAGTGTTATTTGGAGAATTATTTGGAGAATTTAGTGTTTGTTGGAACAACAAGCCTGCAACTGATCATACATGTACCTGGTGAAGGATTATTGGACTTCGGTAGACTTTAAGATCAGTGCCTGACTGCACAGATTTGCTAAAGTAGAAACTTCTGTCGAACGGAAACCTCTGCAGTTGTGTTGATTCTCCACACGGGCACGGCCTCCAAGTCAAACAGAAATATCTTTAGACAGAGAACATCCTTTAGAGGTGTGCACTGGCTCAGATGTGGTCTCATTTTCTCACGGTAACAACACGGTCTCTCATGTTTGAACACATCCAGCGGTATCTTCTAGCAGCTTGGAATCCAATTTTCAGTACATGCCATGCAGTGGTGGTCAGGTGGTGCGAGTGTATGTGTGTGTGTGTGTGTGTGTGTGTGAGTCCCTCAGGCTGCCGTTTGGATGCGGGAAGGTCTGGCAACCCTCACTGCTGCCTGCACCGATGTACAGAACCCTGAAAGTGCTGATGGTCAGAAAAGAAAAAGAGCAAGAAGGACGTTCAGTCATGAATTATATATAGTGAGCCACTTTTAACAGCAACCCTGTCAACATATAATAACGGCAGCCGGTGTTATTGTCTACACCCAGAGAATTAACCGAGGGGCCTGATGGAGAGGCAGAATAGTGATGGAGGCTATTCATGTGTCGCCTTTTCTCATTTATGAAGTCACAAGATAATTTATGTCGCTGTGTAGCTGCCTGTCATTACACTGAAGGGAAATTGTTTTTAGCTGGATGAATTAGGGGAAGCAGCTTAGAATGTAAAAAAAAAAGAGGAGAGAAAAGAAGGTGCTCAATGTAGCAAAAACCATTGTGAGCATGTGCGTAAATACGCCGGTGTGGAGGTGTGTTGGAGCTGGAGCTGTGATATGTTAATGTGCGAGACCCCGCTGTGTGGAGCGTTAGAGTCGGAACAACAATGTCAATCTTCACCAGATCTGCAGGGAAAGGCATTTTTCTATTGACAATCCCATTAAAAGTTGACACAGTTCCTCTGTGGGAATAACAGTAAGCGCTCAGCGTCGTCTGCCTGGAATAAGGCTGTGAAATCTCCGGCTGTGCTCAGGCTGGAATAGGTGCACGCTCCAAAACCTGGGGTGTGGTTCAGGCTCATGCTCTGGATAGAATTTTTTTTAAAAAAAAAAGCATGAATGGGGGAAAACACGCCACCATTTTTATGTTATTAGATAACCGTTACAGATAGCTGTTTCAGTCTTTATTCATATTTTCTGCAAATTCCCCATCAATTACCGTAGATCAGATCTTATTTGATTTGCTTTTTCTGGTTAAAACACTCATCAGGCCGAAAGCATTGGGTCTCACAGTGATATACGTACGGCACTGACCCGATTTAATGAGATTGCAGAGTGTGTGCATGTTTATCTGATTGCATTAATTAGAAGTGAGTCAGAGGTAAACATGTGTACAGATTTGCCACGGCTGGAATGTCACCGTGCGTGTCTGGTCCGGGATTGGTGCACGTGGAGGGTTTAGATTAAAAGCTGGCGGGGTCCCGGCTGCGGCCCGCCCTGCTGATCTGACCTCAGCCACAAAAGTTCAGCCCGCTCACCAAAAGCTGCTAATGAAGTGCTGACACACTGGCTAACGCGGGGAGACACCGCCTAACGAGGTCTGATTAAAGGCCTCCGGGCCGTCCTCATCCTCATCTGCTAATTAAATACATAATAAACGGCAGAGGATGCCGTTCAGATGCATGAGCATCAGCTCATGTGTGTGTTGCATGTTTTTTTTCTTTTAAACAATTACAACCACGCTACATTACTGTTATGAGATTTGTGTTAAAAGCTGCTTCATTTGTTGCATAAAGTAATAGCAGCTAAGGCTATTTTTAAGCAAAGCGGATTATAGTTTAATTTTCCGCAGATGTCGCCAACTTTAAGTACATTTATGTCCAGAAAAAAAATAAGAACGAAAACAAGCTACTCAGCTCCATTTCACTGTGCCATGTGAAAGGCTGAGTAAATGAGACTAATATATTGCAGAATACTCAGTAGTTAAATTGAATAAAGTAAGGAAAAGAACCAGTAACAATTTTAAGAACTGATCCATTGAGTCATGTGGGAATCAAAGCTATTTGAAAAAGATTGAATGATCTATTTGTCAGTTTGTTTGAGATGTGTGAGATTTATTTGACAGTTTTTTTTTACTTAATTAACACATCAAAATATTCAATTTTTAGTGGATCAGTTAATCCAAACTATCAAAATTCTAACGAATAGCAACATCTGTTTGATCCAGTTTGATTAGATTTCATGATCGTTGTTCCTGAAAGTAATAAAATGATATATTCATAAAATGTAGATGGCAAAAAAAACTAATCTGGACCATTTCAATGGTTGACGGTGTCATCGTTGAGTGTGTTCCCACTCATCACATCCAAATAAATTAGGAGAAACTCTCTTCAAACCTGTTTGTCTGGACTTGGTGCTGATTGATGCTTTTTCTCCGAAACAGGATCAGTTTTCGGGTGAACTCAATAAATCAGGTGGTTTTGTGTTTTTGATGTGTGAAAAGAAATTGTGAGTATATATAATTTTCTCCCGCTGACATTTAAGCCAACAACAGAGGGTGTTCTCCACGTCAGGCGATGTCTTCATGAGCTTTCCGTAAAATCTGAACAGGTTATGAAAGGAGACACACGCAATATGCCATCACCAGAAACGGGAACCGTACACCTGCTGTCATCTTTTTATCTGAAAACGAAAGTTTTTTTTTTTTTTCCTGTGTACAGAACCGAGTGACCTGTGTATAAAATGACTCATGTAACAGCAGAGGGAAAAAAAAGCTGTGCTAAAGATAGTTAATGAACTCAGATGTGGACAGAATCTGTCTCGGAGCATCCACATCGAGCTTTATTTTAACACAGCTGACAGCGCAGCTGCGATAAAGCTGCAGAGATGACACACACACACACACACACACACACACATTGCCCCAGTGACACACAACTTCCTTTGCCAATTTGTGTACAGTTCTGCAAAGGTGTGTGTACGTGTGTGGGCTAATCCTCTTACAGTTGGTGTGTTGCTGCGACCCCTGGCTTTAAAGCTCTTTGTGTGAGAATGTAAAACTTAAGAAGTGTGTGTTTTTGGTCCTGTTGCAGCACGGAGCAGCTGGTGGTGAAAATACTCAAAGCTTTGGACCTGCCGGCGAAGGATGCCAACGGCTTCTCTGACCCATACGTGAAGATTTACCTACTGCCAGACAGGAAGAAGAAATTCCAGACAAAGGTGCGTCCCACTAATTTCATTTCCCACCTTTCCTTCATTTAAAGATTTAAATGCATATGCAACATATCAGACATTCTGCTTCTCCACCTGCATTTTTGTGCTACTATGATGTCCCAGCCACCTCATAAAGAGTCATTACAGTATTTTATAATGTAATTAAATCTAATCTGGCTTATTATTCATTCAGGATAATGTTCTTTGGAATATACAGCACAATGCCACAACATGTATATGTGTCACTTTGGAGTTTGAGGACGGTTGAGTCAATATTTGAGAATATTTCAGGACATTCTGTACAAGGCAATATACTCCTAGGTCTAAAAAAAGCCCTCCTCATCTCATTTATTCTCTGTGGAGAAGCCCAGGACTCATATGCTCAGTGTCCTCAAAAAGATGACTTATAGTTCTGGTGCTAAGTCCATAAATACAACAGGGCTTGAGAAAACCAGAAAACTTGAGAACACCAAGAGCGGGTGCGATGAAAACGAGGCTTTTCGGTGACAGTGAAGCTGTGCCGCTTTAAAAATAATGTCTTCTGGTTCCGTCTTTTATGAGACTGTCGCCTGAATGCAACAAAAGCCCCTTCAGCCTTTGAAAAGCATGAATGCTTCAGTAATTTGCATAATGCGGCTCCCCCTTTTGTTTGGAGTGAAGATGATTGTTTAATTTCTATCACATCCTTATTAAGATTGAGCTTTTATCCCTCCAGCTGATTTTAAAGAAAAACAGACGTCAACCTATAAGTAGATGTGATTTGTGATTCCCTAGCTCGGTGCCTTTTTCAGATGTTTAATCCACTGCTAATAAGTAATCATTAACTGCTAATAAACTGGATTGACGGATCCACTCGTGCAGTGACAAAAGTTGTCAGAAATTCTCGCGTGTCACGATTTAATTACGCCACGCTTTAGTGCGCGATGGCATTTTTGTCAAATGCTCACCGGGCAAATTAATTAATAAAAAAAAAAATCTAAATCAGAGTTACGGATTGAATAGATACAAGACAAATTTGCTTGCGACATCCGCAGCGTGCTGCGATGTGGATGTCACTCACACACTCTGAGATGTGTTTGGACCTCCTTCCAGACACGTTCCCCGCGGCTTTGTTTGCAAAAGCTTCTGCAAAGTCGCAGATTTATCTCCATCCAGCGTTGCCTTCGTTTTTCCCCCGGATCTGGTACTGATGATGGAGTCTGACCTCAGCTCAAAGTCTCCTACAGACCCTCAGTGGGGTTCACGCCTGTAAAATATTATGTCCCACGCTCCCTGAACCCCTCTTTTCTCAGTCTGAAAACCCACTGATGGAATAAGTCCGTTTCCTAATGATGCGTAAGAGAGTCTGAACCCAGTTTTGGTATTTTCTTTCATCTCCTCGGATGTTTTCTCTGCTCGGTGCCACTGATTTTGACCCCCGCTAAACAGAAGAAAAATGGTTTCCACGATTTTCTCTGCCCAGTTGTTTAGAAACGAGAAGCTTTCATTGCATCAGTTGGTGTGAAAAAACAACTTTAAGGATAATCATTCAGGCAGTGATTATGCTGAGTTACGGCCAAGCACCAGCTTGATTTTTGGCCATTGGGTTTATGCCTCACGTCTTTAAACATAAATCAGTTCACTCACCTTGTGTTGGGGGACAAATTTTTAAATTCAGTTTCACTTTATTTGATTTGGGCAAGTTTTATTAGATCTTTCATCCTCAAAGAAAATTGGAAATTTGCTTTTGGCCGTCTGGCAGGAGGTCGGTCCTGGTGTCAAAGGTTAAATCATGGTATCCAAGGATATTTGGGCAAGTATGCCAAACTAATAATAAAATATTACTCTGCTTTTCGGTACGTCTTGCTTTTTAAAACCGTAGCTCTGCTTTACTGTTTGAAGCCCTGTCTGAGTCACCCTGCAAGAAGTTAGTCAAAGCTTTCCATTTTTAAAGTCTCTAGTTTTTTTGTTACGCAGGAACTGAAACCTTTCATGTTTTCATTGTCGTTGATAGGATGGGGGGGGGGGGGCAACTGGCTGGTTTGCCAGAGGCAAAGAAGAAAATAAGCTAAAACAAGGACAGAAAAACAACACCTGTTGAATCTCAAATCCAACTCTAAAGATTCAGTTAAAGAAGAGACGAGCACTCGGAGAGAAGGATATACCCTGAAACAACTGCTGCTTTCAAAGATTCATATTCTAACTAAATATTAGTGTTTTATCACCCCAAAGGTATAGGTGTCTTTTTTTTTCCAACACATGACGCATTTGAATCTCAGACTCAGGCCACAGATAAAAGCCGCAGAGCACACTTTGAAAAATCAAGCGTGTCCTCTGACGGCATGAATCATCAGAGACTCCTGTGTTCTGCTCAGAGGAAAAACATCCTCTTTTTCTTTGTCAAAAAAACTATTCCTGCTTCATCAGTCAGGCTGGAAGGGGACACGGCAGCATATGAGAATATTATGTTAGATATTTGGACTTTTTTGGACAAAAAAGCTAATTACGTTTCTTTCGTTAGTATTTTTAAAGATTCCTCACTCATGTCCATGAAATGCCATCATCATTATACAGACTCCAATGTGGAAACAATTGTTTTATAGAAGGGCAGTACTATAGATTACAAGATTCAAACCACTTTGTAATTATTCTGCATGCACACTAGCTGAGTAATATTACATATTGGGCAATTTGCCAGTGACAAAGTACATTGCAAAACTACAAGGCATGCAGGATTAAATACCTCTCTTTTACTCTATCAAGTGGCTAGTTAATAATCTAAAATGCCAGTTATATTATCAGCTGCAGACAGAGACAAAAAAAGTAAGAAAAAGGATCATTGCTTGAATATTTTAATTTTAATTTTCTGGATGCTGAATTATTTGGTAACTCGTTGGGGAGAGACATACCACTAAACTATAGCAACTAAGTTTTTTTGTGCATGTATTTATATCTATGACATTAATCATTGCAAAAGCTGTTGGAAGAAACTTATTTTTTGGAATAAATTCAGACCTAATGTGTCATATCATGGGGTCCTTTGCATCTTTTAAGCCAGATACACTCGTAAAATTGTACCTTTACCAGGGTATGATTGAAACAGCTGTGAAATTTCGGCCCAATTTTTTTACGCTTACGTCTGTAAATGATCCCATCTTTTCGGTGTGACTGTGCTCTCTGTGTCCCAGGTCCACAGAAAGACCTTAAATCCAGTGTTCAACGAAACGTTCCAGTTTGGCGTGCCGCTGAACGAGCTACATTCCAGGAAGTTGCATTTTTCCGTGTATGACTTCGACCGATTCTCCAGGCACGACTTGATAGGCCAAGTCGTGGTGGACAACCTGCTGGACTTCAGCGAGGGCAGCGGGGACAAACCCATCTGGAGAGACATCGTGGAGGGCACAGCAGTAAGACGCAACCCGACACGTTTGCATTCATATGAAGGAAAAGCCTATGATGGATGTGATTAGGTCAACCAAAAAACACGACAAAAGTCACATTTTGAAGAAGAGAAACATGTCAAATATGTTTTAGGGACAAAAGCGATGTTAAGACGTGTTAAAAACAAGTGCAATAATTTTAAGTGAATGTCATGTGGGCTTCAGACAACCAGGTTCACAAGACTCATGGCTTTGCTGACACAGCAGGTTTTCAGACTTGTTGTGTGTCTTTAAGAACACACAGTGCACATTTTCTCTGTGGTTCCAGGTGTCTCGGGTGCTTCTTGCTCCTGTAAACACACTGACTCCATAAGTTATGAACCATGACTCTGCAGAGGTTAGACCATCTGTTGACCCGTTCCTCTTGAGACTGAGGACAGTTTTTCATTATTTTGAGTTCATTGTCTCGCAGTATAATTCATACTAGTGGCCTTCTATGTGATGATGTCTTACTAATGAGGGTCTCTTGAAATAGCTAAGATAATTACATGTGCTCGCAGGCTGTGAACGTCTCATAATGCAGAACTCTTTACTAAACTTTAATAATGTTCATTATACTTAGTCCTTTAAGGGAAATATAGAGCTATATCTCAAATAGATCAATTTAGATCTAAAAGGATGTTTTTAATATGCGTATATGCACCATCTGCTTTCATAACCTTAAAACAATACAGACACAAAGAAGGATTGTGTGTTAGATGGGATCCAGATTTTCATCAACTTCATTTTTGGGGGTTTTGAATGTATTTGAATGTGAAGTTCAAATGAAAATTGATCCAAGAGTCAAGTTGAGTCAAAATATGGAAGAGCAAAGGCGGTATCAAATTGACAAATTGATTGACAAACATTTAGAGAACAAAATATGATCATCTCTTCTTTATACATTTTTTTAGTCATGCCCTCTTTCAAAGAAACCTACTTTACCGCGACAGCGCTTACGGAGTTTCTCAGATGAATTCAGAGTCCAGTTACTAGAAAAAACAGCTCAGTAGAGTCCAGATAAATTACCTGAAAGGCACTGCTGGCCACATTGAAACTTTATATTAGACCGTGTCCAAGTAGATTTATATGAAATATTCATAGAGGGCCATTAGCAAATTAGATGGAGCAAAGCTTTAAAAATTTTTTGGCGTGGGGGTCTAATTTATCAAATAAGTCTGGAGCGTTGGGCGCGTTTCAGTGTTTCGGATTGGGGAGTATTGATTAGTGAGGGCTCGAAGCCACTCAGGAGTCATCGCGCCACAGTGTGACCTGAATGCCAGCGGTGTCATTATGCCGGTGAGGGGGGGGGGGATCTGAAAAGCCCCGGGAACCGTCGCCTCCGCTTAACACTTCCCTCCACTCTGGGACTTCGACAGATTGGCGTATGATTCATTTACAGTGACGGCGTTTCCCCTCCGCTAAACACTCTGCCTGTCCACATTACGACTCCTGCTGTCGCCCCCCCCCCACCCCAACCCCCCACCCCCATCAGTCACGATTAGCTCTTTTCAGCTTACGGGCCGATCATATCAGCCCAAAGATGTCAGTCTGTTAGTGCCTTTTGCAGCCGTCTCTGTTTCTGATGTGGTGTGTGTGTGAGCTGGCTGACCACCCCCCCCCCCCCCTCCTGTGTGTCTGTGGTGATCGACAGGAAAAGGCCGACCTCGGGGAGCTTAATTTCTCGCTGTGTTACCTGCCCACTGCAGGCAGGCTCACGGCAACAATCATTAAGGCCACCAACCTCAAAGCCATGGACTTGACCGGTTTCTCAGGTAAAGTATTCGCAAATACACTCACTGCTGCACGACCATGGGTACGGCTCCAAAAATGTCTAAAAAGAAGGTTGCTACACACTTTTCCTGTGTTCTTTGAAGGTTTTTTGCTGGTCTCATAGGCACATGTCCAATGGCATAAAGCCACGAAGTGAAACTATTCCCATACATTATAATAATAAGCCAGACTGAGTCATTTTGAGGCTTTTTTGCTCTTTAAAAAAAAGCAAAGGCTGACTGGGCCTGAACTGCAAAGCAGACGTGACACATTGTGCTGACTACCGGTAACAGCTGACGTTTCAGGTTTACACGCTAAATGTAATTAAAACGGAATTTATTGGCACTTGATATTTGGATAAGGGAAGTTAAAGGCCAGCTGTGGCTCTGGAGACGCTTGTTCAGAATCAGAAGTTAAGCGGGTTCCTTCCCAAAGTCTCCCTTCCGCCTTTTAAAGCATCCACCGACCAGAAACCAAGCTCAGCTAGTGACACAAATGTGGTCGTTGGGATTAGAATGTATATTGAGCGGGACCAGATTGAAAAATGCTCTTCCAGGGGTACAAGCAGCACCTCTAAATTATGAATGTGCAACCTAACTGTACCAAGTTTGTTTGTGAGCTGAGCGATCTCAAATATTTAGCCGCAGTGTGTTTTTCCCGTTTGTCTCGTTTGCAAACTCAGCTGCAGGTGTAGTTTGGGCCTCAATGAGCTGCAGGCTTTAGCGATCTTTGATTCTTCAGTTACATTTAAATGCAGATCGGCCGCTAACGTCTACAAGCTAGCATCATTCCCAGCCTGATCTGAGCTTGATTGAAGCCCGGCGAGATGCTTCAGATCCCTCTGAGCTGCACAGGTTGCATGCAAAACTGAAGCCATTCAGCCCGTGCTGGGTTTTTTTTCCCTCTATGTGCTTAATCCAGCTTTGCCGAGGTGACTTGATTTCCATGCGTTTCATGTGTCACAGCTGGCACACGTGTGCCACACTATGTACAGATTTAGCCCCCCGCTTTCTCAGGTTCTTCCCATCCTGCTTAACTCCCTGGCTCCTCTTCGCTGCCTCTTCTTCTAGCTCTCTCAGTCTTTTCCCTCTTTCTCTGCTTTCCTCCTGGCTACCTTTATGCGCCTCAGACCCGTATGTGAAAGCCTCTCTGATAAGCGAGGGGCGAAGGCTAAAGAAGAGGAAGACCTCCATTAAGAAGAACACGCTGAATCCCACGTACAACGAGGCGCTGGTGTTTGACATTCCCAACGAAAACATAGAAAGTGTATCCATCATCATCGCAGTGATGGATTATGACTGGTGAGCGATCCGAGGTGTTATTATATAATTGCATGCTCCACGCGCCGTGAACAAAAAACCCATTAAAAACAAACTGATCATTCCTACAACGGAGACGTTTTTTTATTTTTATCTTATACTTGTTTCGCATTTTGATGCCTTTGTGGTTGTGTCGAACACGATGAAGGCCCCCTTAAGAGTCAGCCTCCTGGTGGATGATCCCTGTTTTACATCGATGGGCACCTCATGAATAAGCATGATTTATGCTAATGGGCGAGGGAAGATGTGTCAGCCCTGCCAATATTTATCTCGCTGCCACTTGCTGCACCACTTGGCTGGTTTATGTGTTTGTGTAGAAATGCGCCGCCTCCCTATTATGTAGTTTACCGACCGTTTGGCATCCGTAAAGGTGTGTGTTTTTGTATGTCTGCCCGCGTCTCCACTGACATCCAGCTTTTTATCCCGGGCCCTGTGTATCAGCGTGCTGCTGTTCAGCGTTTCCTCCTCAGCCCGCTGCACTAATTCCCACACCTCAAGGTTGATAAATGAGACTCTGCCTCCCTCTCTCCGTGTCCGCTCTCTTACATCACTCTTTCCTCTCTCTCAAATCTCCGTTCCTTACATCTCCGCTGCCTTCGCGCGTCAGCATCGGTCACAACGAGGTGATAGGGATGTGTCGCGTGGGCAGCGAGGCCGAAGGCCCCGGGAGGGAGCACTGGACGGCCATGCTGGCCAATCCACGCAAGCCCATCGAGCACTGGCATCAGCTCGTGGAGGTAAGATCCTGTTGGTGTATGTGGGGATGATCCATGTTAAAGGCAAAGCTGATGAAGACTAAGTCGGCACCATTATTAATCTTCAAGCGCTTTAAGAAGCAGCTGCAGTGATACCTGAACAGTGGTCGGAGTGATAGGTATTCAACAGCAGAGAAAATGTGAAAAAATAAAGAGGTGACACAAACATGAAGAAAAAAAGCTGATTTTTTGAAGGAGAAGAATTTTACATGAGGCTATAATCCAGAAAAGAAAATCCTAAAATTCAGACGTTTGGTGAACTACAGACATTTAATTGAAGTCATGACCACTATAATTTACCACGATCGGTGCAAATTAGCTTAAGGGGGGTCACAAACAAGTGGGTAATTTACTGATTACCCTAATTCTCGAGCTCGTTGATGCTTCACGTACAAACAAAATAGCTTGGAAGAAAAAGGGTTACCACTTTTTACGTGACATGAGCAGCTTTGTTTGAAAAGAAGGAGTGGATTAGATAAACTGCTGCTCACAAACGTGTTGTCAGAGCTTCATATCGTGTCACAAAGAGTTAACTTGAGCAAAAACCTCTTCTTTGCAGGAAAAAGCTATCGGTACGTTTGTGTCAAAGAGCGCCACGACGCCCTCCCCAAAGCCGCACATCGTGGTGGACAGTCCCCACTCTGACTGAAACCCGTGAGTCTCCTCCGACTTTGCTCTTTCGATTGCAATGAGTTCCGTCATTCGGCTCCTCGGTCCTTGCTCGTAAAAATGGATGAACTCTTTTGGATTTTTTTTTGGGTGCGCGGCAGATGCTCTCCAATAAGATAACACAGGAAATCTAGTCAAGACTTAAAAAGCATGACCAAACTGTGAGTGTGTGATAAAGTGGAGGCTGTAAAGTTGTCAGATGTTGGAGCTCTAAGGCAGAAGCATCTGTATAATCTTGATGTTACGGGTTATGTAATGGCCCTCCCCCCTCCTCTCTACAAACTTACAGTACTGCATGCTGTTTATATATTCTCTCACCCCCCACTGTCTCATGCTTGCTTAATCTGCCTCTTCTGCCTTCTTCCCCTGTTTCCTTAGGTCATTATCATCTCAACAGCTCCAGACTTTCTTTTTTTCCTCTCATCTGTGAATAATTCTCTCCATCAAAGACAGAGAGACGCGGAGACGCTGCTAGTGTCCAACTGCTAGTGCTGTTTTGCTCCCGCTAATGAATACTCCAACAACTCCTGTGCAGTCCTTACTGAGACAGAAAGGGGCCGAAAAAATACCCTCATCCAATCACGAGCTACACTCTGAGCGTCGGACCACACCTAGCAACCGTGCGAACGTGAAACAACGCCGTAGAACTGATACCAGGTGTAAATTAGGGGGTTTAGCAAGGAGATGCACACACTCTTCTTACACACACATAAAAGTTTGTAGTATGTGCGTAGTTCATGTGCTCTTCAGGTTAGTGTAGTATCTCATCTAGAAGGAGTGTGATGTGAAAAACCTTTCTCTCTTGAATAAAAATAAACATTAAAAAAAAAGGAAGCCATCACGGGATGGCCATTTAAACCAGGACCAAAGGTTCATGCCCTTGTACAGACTCTAAAGAAGAGTTTTTTCTTTGCAACATTGGTGTATAGTATATGCCATACTGTATAGGAAAAACATCTCATGTAGTATCCAGCAGGACGAACTATCCGTGGTGGATCCTCCAGGCCATTTTGGGCGCCTTCTCCAGGGTTTTTACCCTCTGGTTTCAGAGTTAACTCGCTTATTTTCCCCAGAGGAAAATCTATGAAGCGTCCAGTGGTCTTTATTGATGTCAGAAAAGTGAAAAATAAGGACACACTCATTGGCCGAAGCATGTTACACACTTTTTGAAATGTGTTCCTCTTCCTCATGCTCATCCTCATCGGTGTGTTTTTTTTTTTTAAAAACGATTCGGCTTCGTCATTCGCGTGAGTTAAACGCTCACACGTCCATCAGGAATGGAGTCGATTCAGGCCATTTTTACCGTCCACCGAGGACAGGATGGAGCGAGCTAGTGGGAGACATGGACCTTAAGGTCATTTTTGGCCATCAGGCCTGAGCTGGCTGACTTTTTCCTGAAGCAGGACCCGACAAGTTTGGGACTGGACCAGCATCTGTTCAGAGGACTTTATCCCGCAGGGAAGGATATCACCACTCTCTTATTTTTGTATCATTCCAGGACATGAAAAGAAAAAAGAAAAAAAGAAATCATCGCACCTCAGCTGATCATTTTTTTTTGAGGACTCACACGTCCGTGTTGCTTTTATTAGTGAGTGTTTCTGTGTTTTCGTGGGTGTGTTTGTTTTGTATTTGTGCGTGTGCGTGTGTGTGTGTGTGTGTGCGAATGTCTGTGTTTAGAGGGGGGGGGGTGCCTGTGTGTCACCGTGACTTTCTGTGTGTTCGACATGTGTCCGTGCTCACCGAGCCCCCTTTGTCCTTTTTCCTTTTTCGCCGCCTTCACTCCCCAAAAACTCTGGCGTCTATAGACTTGAAAAGCTTGTCTCGGAGCCAAATGTGTCTTCTGTCGTGCGTCTTTAAAAGGAGCCATGCAATGAGTGTGTTTGTGCGTGCGCTTGTGTGTGTGTGAGAACCGTGTGTGTGTGTACTACTTGTGCCTCATTGCACTAGGTGGGGAAACTGTCTTTCATAGACATTAGTTCGTATTGTCTATGTTGTCTCTGAAGTCAGCTGCCAGTCACTCAGCCCTCCTCTGCTCTTGAACCTTTTGCCTGATGTAAGTAACTGTGTTGATTGTGTACTTCTTTCTGTAATTTGTGTACTGTACGTCCGAGGGTAAACTTAGTCGGCAAGGGATTGAAAAATAAAAATTGCCAGGTGTGTTTTGATATTTATTAGAAGTAAGACAAAATGAAAGAAAAAAAAATCAAGTTAACGACAAACAAAAAAAAAAATGGGAAAAGAGAAAAATATTTGAGGCTGTTCCGTTATGGCCGACGCCAAATTTAGATCCCCTGAAGGCGAGTTAACGGGGAGGAGGTGTTGGGAGAAAAAAGGAGCGCCTGAGATTTCTGCACTTCCTGCGTAAACCGACGATATACAGACTTATAAAAGCCACGTCTGTCACCGCTACTACTACTGTAACCTCAGCCTCACACAGCTGCTCCTGTTGTTCCCATTCCCCTCCAATCCCCCTCACACACACTAACACGCTTTTACAGGAGAGGGATTTTTCTTTGATTTTTTTTTTTCTGGATCACAGAAAGCAGGTATGAAGAAGGTCACATCTTCCACGCGCTGTGTTTGGCCAAATGGGGGGATTATTGACCCGCTTGTATAAGTAGATATGTTATTGATCCATTGGCCCCGTAATTCTCCTTCTCCTCCAGCCTTTCTCTCATTACTCGTGTCTACCCTACTTAGCCCCTTGTGTTACCGCCTGGCGATGGATTAAAAAGCTGGTGGTGGAACCGGCACATTCACTTATTCCCGTCCTCCTTCCTCTGTCAGCCAGCCCACCCTTAGCCTCTTTCTCCTTCTCTCTTCCTGATTAATGCCTGATTACTCATTCTCTCCTTCTCTCCCCCAGAAATCTTCACCTTTCCCTCAGGCTCCAATCCTCCACCCCCTCCCCTCACCGTACCTAATTCCCGCTCTGTTTTATTTCCTCCCCCTGACCCTTTCCCAGCTCACATCCCGCCATCTTTTCCTTTCTCTCTTTTCTTTTCCTCATCCCTCCGTATGGCCCGCCGTCCAGTCTCTTTTTCTCTCTCACTGTCTTCTCTTGTTTGTGCAGTCCTGAATGGTCATGGGGAAAACATGTTTGCATGCTTATATTAACATGAATGATGTCAACTTGATGCAATGAAGATTATATAAGTGATGCTTTAAGCAAAATCTGACAATGAACTCGATACTAATACTACTAATGATGACTAAACGGAGAGTAAGCGGTCGTTTATCTCTGTGGTCGAAAAACAACGATGATGAAATAACATTGTTTAAGCTGTATCTATCTTTCTCAAGTTGGTACTCTTTTTCGGTTTTTCGGTTGTTTTTTTATATATAATTTATTCAAGAGGTTTACTTTTTTATTTGTCGATGGTGAGAACTTGAGTGAGGGGTTCCGGTCAGGGCGATTGTTTCGGTCCCGACAGAGTGTCAGCGAATGTGTAAGAAACGGTGTGGCTGAAGCAAAGATAAAGGAAATAAAGGATATGTATCATCCAGCCTTGTGTTTCTGACTTCTTTTAACGGAGCTGGGAGGAAAAAAGAGGATGGAGGCTGTGCTTTTTCCCTCTGAAATGTAAAAGCCCTGGGCAGGCCCCACCTGGACGGAGTCTGCTTGAACACAACTTTTCCCCCTCTTTTTCTAGCGCCATCCACTCCGAGTTTCTGCCGTGCATTAAGTCGTGTGCAATTATTCAGCCACTTTGTCATGAATTCTTTATCGCGGCTGCGTTTTTTTTGTCTAAATGGAGCTCTCTGCTTACCCTCTCCGCTCTCCTACAGCCGCCTTCCCTCTGCCTTGTTGTCTCTTTATTCTTTCATTACTCACAGACTTTGTCATGTGATTATTATCCCCCCCCTCCCCGTTTGAGCGAAAGGGGGGCCCACCACCGGCAATTTCGCAACCGAAACTCCGGTGTTTCGGGCAGAAGCCATGAGCGAGGAGGAAGACCCGGCTCAGATGTGTAGGGGAATGACAGAGGAGGAGGAGGAGGAGGAGGAGGAGGAGAGGATTAAACAAATGAAAGAGGATGAAGAGCTGGAGGATGCCAGCGCGGAGGAGGTGGAGAGCACAAACGGGAAAAACCTGGAGCCGAGAGGAGATGGCTGCACGTTTTTTGCGTACAGAGGCCCGGCGCGGGGCTACCTGCAGCCCACCGACGGCGTTAACAATTCAGGAGGAGCCAATCGCACACACCCCCACCTCACACACACACACACACACACACACACACACACACACACACACACGTGACGCCGCCTTACTTTGGCTTTAATGCTGTAGACTGAGCAGGAAAAATGAGTGGAAGTGTGTGTGTGTGTGAGAAGAGAGAGGGGGGGGGGGGGGTGGGTGTCTCCTGGGAAATTTTCCACCGTGGAAAAAAAAAAAAAAAAATCATTTAGTCGGAAAGACATTTCACTCAGTTCAGTGAGCTGAAAGAGGCAGAGTGGAAGGGAGGGGGAAGAAACTTGGATGCGGGCGGTGGTGTGTGTGCACTATGGAGCTGTTTGTCTCACACTGGGGGCATTCATCCAAAGGTACCCCAAAGGCGGACAGCGATACATTAAGTTTTATTGCTAATATATAAGATTATTACACATAATGACCTCCCTCGCATCGTTAAAGCTCTGGGGGATGCCTCGGATTCCGAAACAACAGATCCTCGTCTTTACGAAACACGTTTAAATGCAGTTGACATCCTGACATTAAAAGCTGACCCCGCCTGCCTGCTGGAAACCTTCAGTGACCGGACCTCCAACCCCCCCCCCCCTCCTCGTGTTTAAAGGAATAACATTTTTAAGAAATATTATTATGCCACATACAGGTTTACGCTTTTTTTTTTGGGGCCTCCAAACACTATAAATAATTTCTAAAAACCTTTCAAAGTAATGAATTCAGTGAAAGCAAGCAAGCAGAAATTCCAAGCCGTTAAAGCATTACAGCGGCTTGTTTTCTGCAGCACAACTGTGTGCAAAGAGCTCAGCCCCAGGATCTGACCTTCTCCGCGAAATGCTTTCAAGGAGGATCTTGTTATTCATGGAAGAAAACAAAAAGTTGGGAGAAACATCCTTTGACATTACTCCGCCGCTGTTTAGGAACGTTTTCCTTATAAATTTATAAAAAGGAAATGATGAAATAAGACATTTTCATATTCGAGGAAGTTGATTTTTCTTTTTTTTTTCCTGCTGCTTAGCATCAATTCCAGGCCTAGAATGAAAAGTGGCACAGGATACTACTATCGCACTATATGATATGCACAGAATAGTTTTTTTGGTCCCATTTATGTGGATCAGTGTATCAGCATGCTGGCTGTGATTACCTGTTGTGGGAAGACCATCTGGCCCTCTGTATCCCAGCTGGGTGAAATGGTCAAGGGATGGATTGTAATTTAGCAAACCACCTGGACTTCGAAGGCACCACGCTTCTCATTCATATTTTATGATGTCATTCTCTGACCGAATGAAAAAAACAAAACAACCGGAGAAGGGGATAACATCGTCTGGCTTTTTCGAAAGGCACACCCAGAGAGCAGACTTGTAATTGCTTGGCAACCGCTCGCAATGGTGTGTGTTGAGGTTCAAAGCAGGGAGTCAGAGAGCGTCTGAACGGGGAAGGAGAAGAGGAGCCTACGCACACTGGCACATTCGCACACATGCAAGCGCTCACAATCCGTCCTGTCGGTTTATTTTGGCCACGTTGCTTAGTCAGACTAAACCAGCATCGACGAATGGGGGGGAGGGAGTTAATGTTTACATACCAAGGGCAGCCCAGGGCACAGAACATCTATCAGAACTTTTCTTAAGCGGTCAAATGCAATCCTTGCCGTCCAACACCCACACAGCCTCCTACAGGCTTTTTAAGAACACACATTATTATTATCTTTTTTTTTTTGTGTTCAATTTGGGTTAGATTAATCCAAAGACGTGTTTTAGTGGGAGGTTTTGAGTTTGATGAGCCCTGAAGCCTCTGCTGTACGCTGCACTGAGCAGTCTAGATGGCTAGCATAGCCACGGGGGAGTTGACACCATTGGACCAACATAGAAAACTGTGCCAATGTGTTAAAAACACAGGATTTGCCTTCGGTATCTGGGTCTTTATTTTTAATAAATGTATGTCGGGAGAAATGTATGGGAATCTTCTATATTTTCCCTGAGTTTATGTGCTATGTCTGATGTGTTAAGGCTATCTTATCTTAAAACTGTACAGCCTGTTTTATTTTATGGAGCCAAGCAGACTATGGATATCTACAAAAACATGACAAAAATAAATCTTTCTTTGGCAGTTTTTTTTCTCGGGGTGGATATCTCAGTTTTTATGGGAAGTCGAACTGGTAAAAAGCATCACATCTCGTGAAAGTGGAGATTTAACTGCACTGAAGGATCATTTTCAATTGCATGTATTATGATCCTTTCAATAAAATCAAAATGATAACATATTGTTCTTTTTAAATTATTGTCATATTTCACAAAGTGCAGGATTCCTCCTTTACAGTACAGTAAATCAGCTTTTTTTCTGTCTTAGGAAAGAAATGCCTTTTGTCCTTTCTTAAGATATTTGCTGACATCTCCTGGAGATCGGGATCGACAGCAACTCTTTTTTTAATCTGAGCTCTCTTTCAGCCATAAAGACATCTACCTTTAGATTCTATTTGAAATGGGGTTTTTTAACTGTTAAGTCTACATGAGCATCATTAGAGGTCTGTGGAAGTCTTGGAACTATTTTTTCCCTTCACAACAGTAAATGTAATTCACTGCTTTATTCAGAATTATATGTTTTGCCTTTGAATTTCATTCACAGATTCTAGGTTTTGATATAAAATTTGCCCATTCTTTTGTATGCATCAAGACAAACAAAAGGATGATTTATGCTTGTGTTAATTTTCATCTGATTGAATTAGTCACGTTATTTGGGTGTCAGATACAAGTGTTCTGAAACCAGGCATCAACAAATCACGTTTAATGAGGTTTGTGCTTTTTTGACCAAAAAATAAACAACAAAATACATTAAGGCCGAAATACTTCTAGAGTAATTAGTTCTGGGTTAATCCAATTTAGAATTTTGCCCTTAGAATACAGAAATTAAACTAGGAAAATAGTCTCTAGCTGTTAGCTGTTGTGGACAGATCTGTTTTTCTTGGGTCTGTTAGTGTCAGGGGGATGGCCGGAGGCGCCCAGCTACTGACCTGTTCCTTCTCCTTAATGTGGCTGTCAGTTAGAATGATCACATCTATTTACTCCCCTGTAGTTTTTAACCAACACGTTGGTCATTACTATCTATTTTTGAGTCTGGATTCTGTAGTTCCTCAGGACTGTTTTGAATGTTTTAAGTTGACCCTGGAAGTAATAAAGCAATCCTATTCAGTCTTGAGAGAACAACTTCAGACCAGGACCATTAATGTGGGTTAAAAAAAGATTATCTTCCACTTATTTTGTTTGACCCTTACTGCACTGATTCAGACTATAATATATGATATAATCATAGAAAGGTGGAAAAAGTTAGACCCAGGTTTTCAGAATCTGAATGTGTTCAATGAAATAAAGATTAGACTAATCAAAGCAATAAGCAATGTTATCCTTGTAACAATATATCAAAATAAACACGTATTGTTTTCCTATAATATGAAAATAAATGATTTGTAGAAACAAAAGTGAATTCGTGGAAAAACATATTCTTTTTGAAATGTGATAAATAATGTTTAGTACAGACTGATTAAAGTCTTCGTTATGGCCTTTGACAGCGTGGTGGCAGCACCCCGCCGTGAGACGTCTTGTCAGCATTTAAAAGTGTAGAAGAAGAAGAATTTCCTGTTAGTGGGCGGGCCAAAACGTCATTTCCCTTAAACATACAACAAATGCATATGTTATGCAGCATCTTCAGCTTTTATTTCAGTTGATATCACTTTATATTTAGGTTTAAAGGATACCACGTCAATCTGCCGTGGGGCGCTATCAGGTCAGTTCACTTCGGTTTCCGACCCAGTGATAGATTAGAACTATTTGAGCGGTATTAGCTTAAATCGCTCACTGACATTAGCCACAGAAGCTAATGCTAACCAACAAGCTCTGTTCTGTTTAGCTGCTGTGTTGTGGTTTTTCCTTTTATTTGTTTACATTTCATATTAGGACAGAACGGAAATAAAGAATATTATTTGTGATAGCTTTGGCAATGTATAGTAAGTTTGGCTTAGTAGCTTTCTGTAGTTAAAATAATCACTCATTCATTAAGCTTTTATACGGCATTTCTTAACATTTGAACTTTGAAGCTTTAAACCAAAAAGTGAGGGAATCTTCTGATTTTCATTTATAATTTTCTGAACCCTTTTGTTTTCACACATAGCCAAAACCAATACCTAACAGTTTTAGTGCTTGTTTGCTTGTTTGTTTGTCAAGCTACTTACTGAAACAATCTATCTTAAAATGAATCTGTAGGGTTTTTGGTACAGCCTGACATATAAACAATCAAACCTACTTAAAACACTACTTTTGCACCAACGTGCTAATCTGAATATCTTGGCATGGCGTGAAAGAATGTTCTTAAAATTATTTTAAAAGTAAACAATCGCAGGGCAAAATAAGCAGGCCTTATGAAGTATCAGCTGCATTTTCACAATATTCAAAAGTGTCTCCAAAACTTTCATGTAAATGTAATTTCTGATCCATCCTTATATCCAGATAGGCACTGATGGAGCCCTCCAGTAAACCTGGCTCCAGCCAGGTAGCTGATGTGGTATTTGTCATAGAAGGAACAGCAAACCTTGGACCATACTTTGAATCTCTTAGGAAAAACTATATACTTCCAGCTATTGAGTAAGTATCTGGACATACTGAGTGTGTCCTGCTTTGCTTCCTCCGTTGTGTGTTATTGTGCATTAACACCTCTGTGTTGTGTTACCCGTCACAGATATTTCAATGGAGGGCCGCCAGCAGAAACAGATTTTGGTGGTGATGTGAGTGTTTCTCATATGCTTGAAATGGTCATATTCAATATTCTAATATGTTCTTGAGTATATTTTCTGTTATACTACAAAAAAAAAAGACTAACTCTCTGCTTTTTTATTTTTACAGTATGGAGGGACGCAGTATGGCCTTGTGGTGTTCAACACGGTGGACTGTGCTCCGGAGTCGTATGTCCAATGTCACGCGCCCACAAGCTCTGCCTTTGAGTTTGTTTCGTGGATCGACAGTATCCAGTAAATGATTTAAAATAAATTCTAGCAGCATGTATATTCGCCTCATGGGATGCTTTCCCGTCATTTCCTGACTCGTTTGCGTGTGTTTCCGTGCAGGTTTATGGGAGGCGGAGCAGAGAGCTGCAGTCTGATCGCAGAGGGTCTTTCTGTGGCCTTGCAGCTTTTTGACGACTTTAAAAAGATGAGGGAGCAAATGTAAATCAGTGCTTTTGTTTTCATATTGATCACCAATAGTTTCTATGAGTCTGTGTAGAGTAGAAGTTGATTTGAATTGTCTGACAGACAAGAGGCTGTTCCCAGCACTGAATGAGTTGAGTAGTAAAAAAAACACAAAATAAGTCTAGAGAATTTTTTCAGCTTGAAAATGGTTTACATTGAAAAGGCGCCTCATGTTTCTCCATCTTTGTGCTGTTTCAGAGGTCAAACCCACAAAGTGTGTGTGCTGCTTTGTAATTCTCCTCCATACCTGCTCCCTGCTGTGGAGAGCGTCACTTACACCGGCTGCACCGCGGACAGCCTGGTCAAGATCATCAGAGACGTGAGGGACTGCTGACTTTTGCAGTTTCATTTCTTCTCTTTTTGACGAGTAAAGGCGGTTAAAAGGATTCTGTTTAACTGAATGTCTTTATTTGTGTTTCTGCAGAGAGGAATTCACTTCTCCGTGGTGGCTCCCCGGAAGCTGCCGGCCCTGAGGGCTCTGTTTGAGCGGGCGTCTCCGGTCGGGGGGGCGGTCGAACCGCTGCCCGACTACAGTCAGGATCCGTTCCACATGGTTCTGGTCAGGGGAATCTCACTACCCGGTGAGGAAAACTAAATAAACCGTGCTTCTTTTTCATGGCGTCTGTGAAATTGATTCAAGTTGAATATTAGAACTCTGATCTCTGGTGGGTATAAACACAACATCTCCTGCTATGGAACGCTCGTGTGGACAGCAGCTTTGGAACTCAAACATTGTCCCCACTTTTATTCAAAATCTCCAGTGTTCTTGTGTGACATTATAGCCGTAGAAACCATTGTGCAGGTCTATTTTTGACCATTCTAAATTGTGTGATTAAGCATCTGAATGAATCTTGTTTTAGGATTCTTTATTTATGTGACAATGGAGCAGAAAGCGGGAAAGGAGAAAAACCAGTTATAACGCACATTGTGATTAGTGTTTTTTTGTGAGTGCTGTCTGTTTTCGCCCTGTGTGTCGACAGACAGGATTCCGCTCTGAGACAGGTAGAGGGTTTTTGGCGTTTATGTGCATTATCTGCAGAGACATGCTGAATTGTGGAGTTTTGTGGATTACCAGTTGTGGCAGCTGAATTCTCTTAAGCTCCTTATCGCCAGACACACTTTGGATGGAATGTAACACTGTTTTGTGTTCCTTGGCAATACCGACTAACACTCGTGTTGTTTATTTCTTCAACTTTTTTTTTTGTTTTTTTGTTCGAGACTTACAAGCTGCGTCTGCCTTAAGATCTTAATTCTGGACGGTTTCCCTCAGTCGTGCATTTACTTGCCTGGTTGTGAGACTTTGGGCATTGATTTTGGGGCATTTGAAGTTATTCTTGAACTTCTGGTGGTTTTACTAAATAGAAATCTGACTAGAGATAAACAAAAAAAACTGTCAATAAATTTCTGCCAAATTTTTCTTTGATTAGACGCAATAGATAAGCAGGCATCCTTCAGATTTTTGCAGGCAGGTAAGTTTATCTCTTTAAAAAAGAAAAGAGCCAAAGCTCTGTTTTTCCTCTCTCTGTCTGTAGTTTCGTCAGGAGGAGGACCCGGGCCGCTCAAACCTGTCCTCCCTCCTCAGCCGCTGCCTGGTGGAGCTTCGCAGCCCCCTCCCCCCATTAACCCAAACCATACTTATCAGGTAATGGGCAAGCTGCCACCGGCGGAAGGCTCCCTGGAGGCTAATTCCCGCCGCTGCTTTTGGCTGCGTTTCAGCCCGCGGTGTTTATGTTTCCTCTGTAAAAACGTTTAACCCGGCATTGTCTTGCTTTAATCTTGCTCGCTGTCAGAATTCGGCCCCCATGACTCCTGCTCAGGTGGCTGCACAGATGGCCGTGGAAGCGGCCAACAACCAGAAAAATCGCTGTAAGTTAACAGTAGACTGTTGGCCTTTGAGAAGCAAATACTTTTGCCAAGTTTTAATTACAAGTTTGTCTGCTAACACTCTGCGTGTGATAATGTCTTGTTGTTCAACAATAAACTGCATTATATATAGTTGGACATAAACTGTTTTATGAGGTGGTAATTAAAACTATTCTTGTTTAATGGAGTAAACAAGTAGACCACCACCACCAATTTATTAGCTTCTTTCCCTTCTTCCAGTCCCAGGGATGGTCAGTCAAGGCCCTCAGTTCACCGGTCAGCCGACCATCCCATCGGTCCCTGGAATGAAGCCCAGCCAGCCCAACATGTCCACGGTAACCACGGCAAACCAGCCGATGATGCCCCAGCAGGTTCCCACCAATCAGCAGCAGCCAGTCCCTCCCCCAGGCCAGCCGGCGCCCAACCAGCAACCCCAGGCACCGCCCCAGCAGCAGCCCTCCGCCAATCAGGCCCCGGTGCCCTCGGCCCAGCCCAACATGGTGAGATACACCCTGACACCCTGAAATAATCAGTTTCATCTTGTCTTTCTACAAGAAAATGGTCTCTTTAGGCTTTATGATTGATGCTTGGCACGCCATCATTTTGATTGGTTTATGCAAAGTTACGAACTCTGTGTGAAATCAGGGCCTCAAATACAATACAGAATACAAGAAGGAAAGAAAGAAAGAAAGCCACTTAAAAATATGCCTTTACATCCTCCAGTCGTCACCAAGAATTCAGGTGAAACGATATAAAGGGGACAGATTTCGATTCAACATTGAACTTTGCCTTCCCTGTCAGTTTCCTACCTGGAATCCTCTGGAAATGTTTTATTAGTCTGATATATTTTTCAAACGCTTACTATATTTGGATCGAGTTTTGCTTTTGCTTTGGTCTATGTCCCCAGAGAGACAGGCTCACTCTCTATAAAGAATCTTCAAAGAATTATTGAATAAAAAGACAACTACAGTGATAACCTGTCCCGGTTTTAGCTACAGTTCCAGCTTGATGCTAATAACATTCATACAGGACTAAATATTTTTTCTTTGCCTGTTTTACATATGCAATTCATTGTGTATTTCTGCTCTGAGTTCATAATTGAGCCACCTGTTAAGAATACTCCTCGATTTGAAATGAAAAAGGCGTTTTGGGGGTTTGTCTCATTGCAGATGATGGCATATCTGTGGTTTAATACCTCCAGACTATTTTTTTTTATTATCTTCCTTTGGTCCAGGAGCTGCTATGTTCACCAGGTCTTCCACATTTGTGTGTGATATCAGCTAGTTAGGCTCTAACGCTTGTGTCTCTGTCAGTCCAGGAAATGCACTGATTAGCTTCTCCTCCTTCCTTCTTCTTGATAGGCTGGAGGTCAAGGCAATGCAAACGCTGCTGGACAACCTCAAGGTGTGGCTAATAAGATATTGGCATGGACCGGTGTTCTGGAATGGCAAGAGGTAAAACCGACAAACAGCATTCATCACTTTCTGAACGTTCGACTAAAAGAAGGAAAAAAGCACCTTAATTTAGTCTGCTATGAATGCAAAGTATGAAGAGAACAGTGTTCTTTAAACACGTGGCGATAAAGCTTTAACTTTTCCTAAATCATGTAATTCTCTTTTTGGAGTTTAACTCCATGTTTTCATATTGCAGAGCTCCATAAATTATTCCCAGCTTTATCTGTCATCACATGAGCACATTATTCATATGTTGTATGTGTTTTAGTAAATGTTTTAGTAAATGGGGGGGCGGGCGGTCAGGTTTATCCCCGCTGTGTTGGCGGCGAGTCCTTCTGAACGCCTGTCACTGGTTACTGTACAGCATGATTAACTACGCGGACAATTCCCTGTCCTCCTTTTATTGGCTTGGCACAAGGTCAAATCAATCAAGTGTAAAGTTGCGTTGCCGAGCCAAGGAAATGGATGTTGATGACATTTATGTGACACTCATCAGGTCTTCATGTGTTTGCGCCCGGTGGCCAAGCTGGGATCAATTCCCCCCGATCGACTGTAGTCTCATCCCCCCTCATCTGTTTGCCAGAATTATTGAAATGAGTGAGATGGATGGGAGAAAGAAGGAGAAAGCTGTGGGAAGTCGGGGATCTATGGGAATGTGCAGTCACAGACTGCCTGACGGAACAAATTGGGAGCATGAGACATTGCTCTTAATCTGCAACTTCCTCCCCCCGTTAAGTCGCTGGGGATCGATTATTCGCTGAAGCCCATTTGTAACGTTGGGAAGAATTACGCCGCAGAATCTAAAAGTCGTTTGGAGGAAATGGCTGTTGATAATACGAAAGATGCCCGTGCGCTTGGCTGGGATCAGAGCAGGACGTTTCCTGAAGGTTTTTCTGCTAAAAAAGAAGCAGCTGATTTACAGTAAGTTTCACAAAGCAGGCAGATGGAATTGTTCCGTTACCGTCCACCTCGTCGGCTCCTTTGCTTTCCTGCTTAAGCAAGCACCGGAAATAAATAACCCGTTTGTCTGCCATGCAATAAATCTGTCACCGAGTACAGTGGACCTGACTAATGTGTGATTGATTAATCATTTATCCAGTATCGATGTCTTGAGGATGAGTGCTGGCAGTTCTCCCGGTGTTTTTTTTTTTTTTTTCTTAATTGCTCGTCCTGATTGAGGTCACTGACAGAGAGATGAGGGGAGCAGACGACGTGTCCGTTCTATCAGCGATGATCTCCAGTTGAAGCCAGGCTTTAGTTGAAGTCCCGGCTCATCGTTAGACGTCCAAAGTGGGGATTTTTCAGCACGATTTGACGGTTTGACTCCTCTGACCTGATATGTGGCTCTGTCAGCACTTTGGGGTTTGAAATGGAAGTCTCTGAACCAGCCCTTGTACGGCTTTGGTGGAAAAGCATCCGGCCATCTTCTTCTTGTTTGTATATTCTGGTGTTCCTGATCCGATCGCGCTCACTACCATTTTTGCCGTGTTCATCACACTTTTTATTCATCCCCCAGAAGCCGAAAGCCTCGTCGATGGACTCTTCCACCAAACTGACTCGTTCCCTGCCGTGCCAAGTGCATGTCAACCAAGGAGAGAATCTGTGAGTACCAGAGCAGAGCTTCCAGGTCTCATCCTTGCCAACGTGTTTAACAGGCATTTTGTCGGTCTCTTTTCCCAGAAACACAGACCAGTGGCCGCAGAAGCTCATCATGCAGCTGATCCCTCAACAGTTACTGGTGACGACTTTGTTTCTGCTGACTAATCCGTATTCACCTCGGTGATGTTTTTTGTTTTTTGTGGGAATGACACATAAACTCTCTTTCTTGGCTTTGCTTTCTGCAGACAACCTTAGGACCCCTCTTCAGGAACTCTCGAATGGTTCAGTTTCTCTTCACCAACAAAGACCTGGAGGCACTAAGGGGCCTCTACCGCATCATGGCCAACGGCTTTGTGAGTATTCAAGTTTACTCTGACTCCCTCCGAAGCAGCGCCGTTCCCCTTCAAGTCCTTAATCTTGCCGATCCTCAAGCATTAATCTTTAAGTCTTCCACAAGTGGAGAGCGAGTGCTCGTCTCATCTCTCTACACGAGAGTGACTGGACGTCACTTGCTGTAGTTTTGAGGTGGAGACTCTAGAGGGGGTTCTTGGCCATGCAATTTATCATTTTTAATCTCACTAAAATCATTTAAATGATTTGCCATCATGATGGACAAAAGCTTTGATTTGCAGAAGGATTCTGTAATTGTAAAGCTTTTGGAAATCTGGCGTATTATTAATCAAGAAGTACCAGAGAAATGGGACAAGCATTAATAGAATTCAGACTCGGCCTCTTCAGTGAATTCGATTTACGGCCCAGCGAAAGCACACTATGAATCGAGTTAATGCCATTTGCATTAAACTTATAAAACCAATATGTTTGATTGGGCTAAGGAGCTCAGAAGAAGGTTATGTCCCCAAAGCCCGGAGCCATCACACGATTACAGCCGGGGTCCGACGCGGAGGTCCTAATCCAGCCTGTGGCCCCTTTCTGCAGGCGGGCTGCGTCCACTTCCCCCACACCACTTCACCGTGTGAAGTGCGGGTGCTGATGCTGCTCTATTCTTCCAAGAAGAAAATATTCATGGGCCTCATCCCCAACGATCAGAGTGGCTTCGTCAACGGCATCCGGCAAGTCATCACCAACCACAAGCAGGTCCAGCAGCACAGAGTGGTGAGTGGGGGGCGGGAGGGGTCCAGGTGGGGTTACCGGAGCTGTTCGGACTATAGTTCCACCGTGCACTGCTTTTTAGAGCAAAAGAACAAAACGCGGCAGCCATTTTACTTGATGCTAATTGTGCTAAAGCTAGCTGAAGTGATGCAAGTGTGCCCTTTCTTTTTCTTTTTTTGATTTTTGTAATTATCAGGTGAACTTGTGTTCTGGTGCGGCGCCCGCTCGGCGTTACCCCGCTGCATAATGCAGACGGCTCCACAGAAAGCAGCCACTGTTGTGGCTCTGCCATCTCTGCAGACACACATTTATGTTTTTTCGCTTAAGTGTTAAGCTGTAAAATTCAGCTTTGGTTGGAGGGGGGCGGGGTGGTGGTGTATTCGTTTTGCAGGATGTGGAGGTGTTGATTTTCTATGAAGTAGCGGTGTTTCGTGGTTTTAAAGGATATTTAGAACCAGAAAAATGGAGTCCCTCGTTTTGGTGCCAGCAGTGGAAGAAGTCCTGTTCTAGTGGCTGAGTTCATTACAGGCTTAAAACACTGCGCTCATGTTCATGATATGAAAATTTAACTTCCTATCCGCGCTGGTCTCGGGCTCCAGAGACAGGGTGATTTAACATGTGTCCTCTGAATTAGCTGTCCCCTCCATCACACGGCTCCGGCTCGGGGAGGAGGGCCGCTGAGCAGCAGCACCACCCTCCAGAAAAACAACGCTCGCAGTCAAGTTCACACCACTTTGATTGCGTTTTTCTCCTCGTACTCAGCGCTCATCAGCGATGTTGGCGCTTGTTTACTCATCCCGCTAATTTCATGTCTTGGTGAAAGCACATTAGTGCCTATACGCGACTCTTAAGCCGCGTTTGAACGCGCATCGAGGCATTTAGAGGAAGAAGAAGACGAGAAACTACAGTTTTTTTTTCCTCACGCCGTGTTCAGTGCTGCATTGCAAGTAAAGAAGGGCTGCAGCAATTGTAACGTAATTAAAAAATTTAATTTGGACCAGTAGGTGAGGTTTCTCGGTGCAGAGCCCATGAGTGGCATTCTGCAGGAAGAAGATCCCACTTTGCCCCAGCAGGTCAGAAATTAATATAGTTGCTTTCAAAAGTGATGGAGGCCCCCGTATTCAGGATGGTGCAAGCGAGTGTGATGAAGACACAGACGGCAAAGGAGAAGCGCAGCTCTCTTAATCTCATCAAAAGACCCGAGGCCACGAGTTGCTCTGCTGTTGCTGGAGAGAGAACACACCGCGTATTAAGTCGGTCCAGGGATTATTTGTTCAGATACAGCCCGAGACGGACGGGCCGAGCTGTATTTCTCTCTGTAGTCGGTAGTTTTTTTCTTGTTTGGGAGATGAAACGCCTCTGGTCCGTCTCTCCCTCAGCGTGGGAACGCCGTCCACTGCGGAGCACTTCCCAGTTTGACTGATTTGTTTCAAATGCTGCATGGTGCGGATGAAATGCCAAAGAGTCTGCGTGTCATCACCAATGGAAGCGCTGCGTTTGTGGGCCGTGGGATCTTTCTGCTTCTCTCATGTCGCTGGAACTGTTTCTTGTGTTTGGCAGCACGTGGAGGATGTATGTGGGGGGTTTTTTTTACCCCCTCAGACTCCGCTTACAGGTTTGGTAATCAAGCTTTGGTTTGTTTTAAAGCATGAAAACACTCCTCAGCAGGTGGTGGCTGGTTAGATAGACAGCGTCCTCCATGTTTGTTTTTTGCTCTCAGTCTGCTCTCTCACAAAGGAAGTGGAAATGTGGGCTCACACTTCCACTTTGTCAACACAGTAAATCTCATTTACGCACAGCAAATATTTGTACTGTGAATATGGAAGATAGATGCAGAGTGACTGTATCAAAATGGCCAACTGTCAGGTTTTAATCTGCATTGTGTTTAGGTTTGGTGCTTTTAAAAAAAAAAAAATGGTTTGAAACACCTGCCCATAAATGTGTGTAACAGGAGATGATAGATGTGTTTAATCTTATTTATTTTATGGTCGCCACATTTAACTTTGTGTTACTGTGTGTAGGATTGGACTTTTCAAGTTCAGGAAGTTTAACTTTGTTATTCTTTATTTCTCATGTGGACTTGCTTATGGGGTCATTTTATTTATTTTTATTTGTATTTAACACACCATCTGGCAGTGAGTCTTAAGGTTTCTCCTTCTTTTGTCGTTGTGGTTAAAATAGAGCAGCAGGATTTGTCTGATGCTGTTTTTTTTTCTTTTCTACATGTATATAATCATTTTTCCCGGCTTCGTTTTGTTTGTGCACCAGATGGCCGGGGCGGGAGCGCCGATGCAGCCAGGTCAAGTTCCCCCCAATCCCGGCTTTCTCAACAGGCCTCCTGGTCCTATTCCCGTTTCCCATGGTAACGTCCAGCAGCAGGTAAACGAGCCCGCCGCGCGTTTTCCCACTCCCCGCTCCGCCCGCGGTTGATACCACGGCTGCCTCGGTGCCTGCTGACCTCCGCATGCCTCACGGTAACCCTTTCCTCCACTGTCCTCCCTCTCTCCAACCCGCCCCGCATCCAGTCTGTGGTGGTGGGTATGCCCCCCGTTAGTCAGGTCTCTATGATGGAGGAGCAGCAGAGGCAGAACAACATGGTGAGAACAAAAGAAGCTCCGAGTATGCACGCAACTTCCTGTCTACTGTTTAATCTGCTTCTTCTTCTGTTACCGTTTTGGATTAACACTGTGGTGTTTTAAGTATCTTAGGCTCCATAAATGCACGTCTCTGTGGAATTGGCATGATGCTGCATGACACCTTAGCAGATGACACCTTATGTGTCGACATGCTTGTGTGCATGTTTGCGTATTTCATCGGACACAAATATGTTTTCCTGTGTGTCATATCTGAGTGTGATTCAAAGGTTGTGGGAGGTGGATCTCAGCTCTGCTAACGAGTAGCTTTAATGGACACAGTTGCAGACTTCTTTTTTTTTTTTTAACTCATTGGCTGCCAAAGACGTCTATAGACGTCTTTTATGTTTTTCAACGAGAGTGGCTGGGGGACGATCTGCTAAAGCTTGTCCGTAAATATCAGGCTTCTAGATAGAGTATGTAGTAACAAATTGACCCTCCACTTTTGATGGGAGATGAGCATAGACTGTAGGCAAATAAGAAAAAGATAATGGTTCACTATGAGAGAACATGTCGCCGATGAGACGCAAGTCGAGGAAGAACGGAATAAGGTAGAAACTAAATTTTTTTTCCTGATGAAAGAAGAGAGTCTACTCTTTCTTTTGGTGCGTTCAGTGTTTACATAGTCATAGCACAAACTGTTCCGTGGCTCTTGAAAAATCAGTCAAAATGCTCAAAAAACTCTGGCAGTCAATGAGTTAAAGTAGCTAATTTTTCTGATAACTCTTCCATGAAAATCTACGAATCGCTGCTGGGGCCGAGTGTAATTTATTTCTGTGCGTTTCCGTGAACGTTGAGGAGTTCCCTTTTTGCTGCCCTCGCTGCTTGGTGGTTGAAACGCCGGCCTCTCTCTGTGGCATCCGGCCCCAAGTGGTCTGAGCGTAAACTGCGTGGCGTTTCCCCTCAGATGGCCATGAGGGCGGCCGGACCGACCAATCCGCAGGCGGCAGTGAGCGGAGCCCCGCCCAACCAGGTCGCGCAAGGCGGCCAGCCCCAGCCTCAGGGTCCCATTCTGCGCCTCCCCAACCCGGGGGCCAACCCTCAGCTCCGCAGCCTCCTCCTCAGCCAGCAGCAGCCAGTAAGACCTCGGCAAACGGCTCTCACCGGAAACACCACACTAACGTAATGACGGCCACTCTGCAGACATTCATGTCCCTTCTCTGTGTGGGTGTCCCTGCAGCAGGGCGGGGTGTCCCACATGCCGGGCATGATGCCCCACCAGGGCTTAGGCCAGCAGCTGGTCCACCCGGCGCCAGGAGAGGGGGCTCAAATGCAGAACCAGTGGAGGCAACCTTTGGCAGGTCAGCAAGCATCAGAGTCAGAGTCAGAATGATTTGATTCCGCAGGACACCGAAATGTACAATATCTGTCTGTGGGGGTACTTTAGAGACAAGCAGAGAAGTCAAAAGGACACGAATCTTAAACTAGCTTTTTTTTTTTACGGCTAAAGAACTGAAGCATCATATGCTGAAAAGAGACTCAATCCTCTGCCTGTGAGATTACAGCAGATTCTTCTATCAAATCATTAAGCCGTTGTATGCATATCTAGTCAAATTATTTCATGGATTTTTTGTCTGTTCGCGTTGAAGAAAAACTCTGCAGAATTTCTCATTTGTCACTGTGTAGATTTAAAAACTCTTTTGAAGGTTTCCTGTTGGAGGCTGGTTCTGCTGCTCTTTTGGGTTTAAAAATGGGATTTATTTGGTGTCTTCCATCGTCTAAAATCTGATTGGAGGTGTTGTTTAAACACTGTTTAAACACAGCTGGACTGCTGGAGCTTTGGCCGCTGCCTGGGCTGTAATACAAACTCAAGAATTTGAGCGTATGACTGGAGTGCTGAAGTTCCCCCACCGGTTAGCCGCTCGATACAGACCCACCTTTAAAATCCTCTCTCTGGTCCCAGAGGCGTTTAATGATTTGGTCTCCCTCTGCACCCTCTGCGTTGCTCAGTGGGTAAAACTCAAACGGGTTCTTCAAGCTATCAAAAACAGGTCTTTTATTTATTTCCGAGAATTAAATCAAAATCTTCTGGTCTGAATCTCTTGGAACAAACAACCAGCTGATCCAAATTTAATTTTAGAGGATTCCTGAAGGAATCCTTTAAAATTAAACCATTAATAGTTGTTCTTTCAGAAAAAATATGTGGTTCTCATAATTAGATGCTGTGTAAAAATAGAATGGCTGTTTGTTTTGGTTTATTTTAGGCAGGATATGTGAATGGAGAACATTTATCCCCATCAGAGAAACCGCCTTAGCTCTCAGTTTGGCTAGATTTGACCTAGAAAGGAGCAGAAATCCATACAGTTCGATATATGATTTAAGAATTTAATTCAATGCACCGTGTAATTATTTAAAATGTCTGTACCTGAAAGTTAAGTGCTTTGATTCTTACCCTCTCTTGGTAACAAAAAAAAAGGGATCTGTATCTTAACTCTGTTAGCATTTCTGAGTCTCCCTCCGTCTCCGTGCAGGTCAGATGCTGATGTCCGGCGGTCAGAGGGGGGCCGTGCCCCAGCCCGGCATGCCTCAAGTGTCCAGTGTGATGGAGGACGAAATCCTCATGAACCTCATCTGATCCGGAGCTTTTTGGACTCAGGAGCTTTGCTGCAGCTCGGACATTTAAGTCTGCTGTTCGACATCATTAAGAAAACCAATCATGAGCAGTTTCTTTCTTCCCTTTTCTTTTTTTTTACCCGGACTGAGCAGCTGGAGTTAATTAGGGGCAGACAATGCCAGCATTAGTTTTTCATGTAACGGTCAAGCCACGGGCGCGCTAATCCCCCCCCCCAGCCTCACACTGGACGGAGCCTGTGGAAAGACTCACTCGTCTATAGGTTTGACGTTTTATCATCGAAATCTGAAAGTGTACATTTTTTTTTTAAGCGAGATATAACTTTTCCTATCGGTTATTTTCTTTTTTTTTTAAGCATTCATCAGGTTTTTTTTTTGTGTTTTTTTTTGAGAGGAAAATAAAAAAAGAAGGATCCCGGATGATGGCAGAGGTGGTGATGTGCTTAAACTGGCCAGCCGGAGTTTTCACAACCTGTGTTAACAGCAGAGAGAGAGAGAGAGAGATGCTGAAATAGACACAGTAATAGATAGTTCAGTGTCTTTTCCTGCCAAATAGTGTCACAGTGTTAATTTTAACTACTCCAATATGTCATGGAACCATAGAGGGGGCCTCCCCCCGTGCCAAGTAGTCCTACCAGATGGCATCGCTTGGCCAAGTTTCCATTGGCATAAAGTACAATCGGGTTTGGCTGCTTATGGGCGCATGGCGCAGATATGCGCTCGCAGTCTGCTTTTACAAGTCGCCCTCACATTGTAGGCACGATGCGTTCAGGCTCCATCGTGCACAGCGGCGTGCGCGGGGGCTACCATGGAGAGCAGGAGGAGAAGGAAAAGCACATGAACTTTCCTGAACCGCTCGCAGCTCGTACACACCGTGTACACACACACACAGACACGCACGCTTCACCAACAGGAAGTGATGTAGGACCCTGTCACCTGGGAGACGGAGACGGTTGCTAAGAGACCGCGACAGTGGGTTCTTGTTTCGGTAAGCGCTCGCTTTCACATGGACTCACACAGATAGCCACTGGCCCCCCAGGGGCTGGCGCCCCCCCCCCCCCCCCCCATCCCTTAATCACTGTTCGGCCCTCAGAGCTCAGCTCTGCCCCCCCACCATCTCCATCTATCAGTCTCTATCTCACCGGCGAGCTATTAGCGCCTGTCTGGGCTCATAAGTTTCGCAGTATCTCTTTTATTAAAGGCAAAAATGACCTTATGATGAACCGCGGAGGTAAATAAAAATCGGACTAAGCCGGCCTCCAATCAAGATCGTCATCCGGCAAACTTCAAGCGTAATAATTCAAAGAAATCAATTCAGATATTTCACTGTGCCTCACAGCCCTCAGATTTGTATTTCTCCGGGGGTGGGGGTGGGGGGGGGTTCTGGTAGGGGTTGTGACTCTCATTGTCATAATGCTGAAACAGTAGATTGGACTCCTTTTTTTTTTTTTTTGTACAGACTAAGCCACGAAAAATGACACTCAAATAAATAACATGCTCCCGTTAAATCGACATGATGCAACAAGGCTTCAATGCCTGCATAAATCTACATTTAACAGGTAATGAGATTGTTTATAAACTATTAAAATAAAACATAAACGTAATAAAATGCAAAGTTCTGTGCTGCATCAGGAAATATTGAGAAACATTGTGGCCACGTGCTTGTAATCTTTTAAATACGTCTTATCTTTATGGGCCCCCACCTAAAATCCCAAAATGTTTTCTTATTTTTTATTTTAAGGAACTTATTCTTTAATAAAAAGCTGGGAGCACAGTTCTGTGGGTGTGCAGAGCCTTCCTGGGCTCAGATGTGGCAGTGGTTACAGTCTGGTGTTCTGCTGGGTGTGACACATGCGGATCTGGGGACATTTGGCCATTTTTCTCTGCAGATCCTTTCAAGCTCTGCTAGGTCGGACAGCGACCGTCGGTGGGTAGCAATTTCCAGGTTTGTCAAGAGGGAGGCTGGGGTCAGGGAAGTGACTGAGTAGACGTCAGGCCCATGAACAATGCCCCAACATCACCAGACACTCAACGATCTGCTGATTTATCTCCAGGAACGCTTGATTATTTTCAAATTTCTCCAACTTTATAATGTGCTATAAGGTGCCTGGGTGTGTGTGTCCTGTTTCATGAGCTGACCTGTTAAAAAACAATGGCTTAAACAGTAAAAACTAGAGGCAAGTCATATTTGGGAAAACATGACTTGCCTTTAAATAGACCCCCTTCAGTTTCAAGGCTTGTTAAATATCTTTTTTTTTTTTTTGGCTCACACATGACAAATTCCCCCTTTAGGGCAAAATCCAAGCATTAAAAGAAACCTCCCACTGAGATCTGTCACTTTGTGTCGTAGTGGCTGTCACAAAGTCTTCTTTCTTTTTTTTTTTTTAACCATTTTCCAAAATGCTGGCTAGCATGAGAATGGGGCAGCTGGGGGTGAGTCTGTTGTTGCTGCCATGATAATAGAACACAAACAAATTGAGAGAATGTTTGCTGTTAGACACATTACAATTATTCCCTCACTTCTGCTCCACAAGTGGGGGAAAAGCCAACCATGTCGGATGATTTTCAACATTTTAAAAACCAAGAAAAGAATTACTGGTACTTAAATTTTTTCAGAAAGTTCAAGCTGGACTTTAGGAAACTTAAAATCCATCTTAGTGATGCTGGTGTTCCGAAATACATAAATACCATGATTTAATAAAAATAACTCATTACTATACTTTCTATGGCTCTTTCAAAGGTAAAAGAAATATTGAAATAGACATGTCCAACTTATAGTCTGCCCAATATAAAATTATTACTCTTAAATTTGAAAAGTAGGCTGTTTAAATGGTTAACCGCTCATTTTTAAAGCAGATGAGAGATTCTCTTTTGCACCGGAGCTGTCGACTCATCGCATTTCCTTCAAATTTTCTGATCGTGGCATAATGAAGAAAAATGTATTTCCTAATTGTGGACAAGCCAACCCTGTGTACCGCCCACTCACCCATGTCCCCCAGCCCCTCCTCGCACGTTACGGCGCCATTCCCACAACGTGTTGTCAACCCTCATTAAATACACCTACACATGATCCCAAACTGGAGCTCTCTGGATCTATTAGCACGTATTTTTAGATATGACTTCTTTAATCAGTTTATTTGACGTGGATGCTAAAATATACGTGCGTGAATCTGGGCATTCGGATACGGATGGAGGCATGGCTCCGGGGGCTGGTTTCTGAGAGACTTGAGTCAGCTTTCACGCATCATTTTTTAATGAAGTTCATTTTCAAGCGGGTTTTCTCCTGATTTCCCTTTGACTCGCTGGTTAAGTGAAAGCAAGTCCCACACCATTTCATAAGGTCTGCAAAATCTCAAATGATCCAAATCAGAGTTTTTTTCCAGACAAACAAGAAAGAGGAGAAAGACAGAAGAACATAAAGAGCACAAAATATCAGCTGCAAAAGTGCTCGCTAACCTGTTGCTGAGCGTTTTTAGAAAAAGATGCTTTCTTTAATATGCTTCATATACTCGGTGCATTTGCATTAAATCTCTTATTAAGCAGGCTCACCCCGGGAACTGAACAAACAACGGCGGCCTGTGCCGTTTGACAGATTTATATAGTGAAGCGATCTGGGTCAGGCTAACGGTGGCCTGAAATTAAAATGCTAATGTTTTGTGGCGTTCTGGTGGTTGTCTGTCGCCATTAGGGAGGCAGCGGACCGATTTAAGGGCCGCTTTTTTTGGGGGGAGGGACGGGGAGATTACACAGCCTGGTGGCAGAAGTTGCTGCTCAGCATAATGGGGTTTATAGGCCCGGGGCCAGAGTTTGTTTTATGCCCCCGCCGGAGGAGGCGTTGACAGGAGCGATGCCGTGGAGGCCTGCCGTTTCAAACCCAGGGGCCACCATTTTGGAACAAAGGCGAAGAGCAAGAGGTGGATCCACGGGATCATTTAACACCTAAAACCGGGCGGTCTCCATGTCCTCGGGGGGGGCCGTTGGGCCACGCTCCACTAGTTCTTGGTGGATTCATTGTTTTCTAATGGGATCATTAACATGATAGGACTGATTTGGACTTGGCGGTGGAGGTGCAAGGTTGGTTAACTCCGTTTAAAAGAGCCTCTTCTGTGTTTCAGAGCTTCCCCCCCCCTTAGCGTCCTACTCACGACTACCCTGGCTTTTCAGTTCGGTATCACGCGGGTTGGGCTCTGTTTGGCCATCAGACACAGATCGGGGCTGGGTTAAGGCCTTGGAGGCTTTGGTCTGGAGACGGCGTGGGAGGAAAGAGGGGGAGATGCCAG